ACATTGATCGCAAGTTAGCGTCATTGTGATTGTGGATAAAGCATCAGCTGGGAATTCATCCCACACTAGCAATTTGACAGTCAGCAATTTGAAGCGCTACACTACCAAAGGCAACGTGTAGCCTGCCTCTCCGACGAGTTGCGTTTTTTGGTCCACAGGGAGACTCAGACCGTGACCCTCCAGTTCCAAAGCGCAAATCTTTACAGATCAGCCACTGCAGGTCCTGACCTCTTGTGCCCCTTTATTTATTATATATCTGTCCCTTTAAAGATGCCTTTTGTTAAATGTAATCGTGTCAATTGTTATCCCGCAAAAATGAATTCACTTGAAGCATTTGCGCTACTTAATTGTCGTCGGCCATCAAGCAGAGGATGGCTTGGTTTCCAAAGCCAAACATCGCTTGGGTTGAACCATGCTGGCCGTGTGTGTGATGACTGAGAGCAAGCGAGGCCCATCGGTGCCAGCTCCGTGTCGCCCTCATAACACTGTTGTGAGTGACAGTTGTGTTGGCCCCTGAATGCTTGATCCGAATGTGACCCGCCGGACTGCAACATGCAGACATGTCTGGCTATGTTTCCCTTCCCCAATCGCCCTCTGTCACACCCTCCACCTCCATCACTCCTCCTCCCTCCCGCTCTCTCTCAATGACTGCATCGGTAAATTGACTCCAGCAGACCACCCCTGATGCATCCTCTCCTCCCTGTCCCATGCTTGTTTACCTTCTCGCCATGTCCCACTCTCCTCCCTTTTTATGTCCTCGCCAACCCCTTGGACGCTCGCAGCCCGCGGCGTTATGTAGCGCCCTTGTTTCGGACCAACACTACTTTACATAGACAACAGCCTCATCTGTGATCGATGAGTGGCGTCTGATGCAGTCCCCAACACAGAGGCAAACAATGGCGTGCGGTGCAGCCCCCTCAAAACACAGGCAGCCTTCACCATTCAGGAGGCCGCCAAGGTGAGATGGAGAGGCAAGACGACAATGGGGAGGAATATAAAGGAAAGAATGAACCTTGCACACACACACGCACACACGCACACGCACACGCACACACACACACGCACACACACACACACACACACACACACACACACGCCTCTTGGGCTCATAGCGATGGAGAGGAGGTTGGCTTTACCTTCTGTCCAAGATTTCAGGAACTTCATCATAAGTGAGTCCTGGCTGCAGCTCTTCTTCGGACAGAGTCAGAGCAGTCCGGCTGAAAGCAGACAGCAAGGCGATGGAGCACAGGAGGAATGCGTGCACAGCCATTGAGACAATGAGAGGAGACTGCCGCTGCTGGAGCGCCGCTTCATAATCTGCTCTCCAAGCGGCGCCTGGCTCCCAGCTCTCGTGAGCGGCACTCACCGCGGCCAATCAGCGGCGAGCACAGGGCATCGGCGTGCGTCACAGTCCCCTCGCTGCCCCCCCCCTCCTCCTCCCGCTCCGCTCCTCTCCTCTTCTTCTGCTTGTTTCACGCCGCTCACCCTCCCACATCCACTCCTGTGCTCTCCATCCACTCTGCTTCTGGCATAGACACAGGTAGCTGCAGGCCAGTCCCACATATAGGAAGCGGCTCGCTGCATTTCACATCCCGTCATACCTTTGCTGTCCCCAATGTTATCCTCACGCGTTTGCACACACACACACACACACACACACACACACACACACACACACACACACACACACACGCACACACGCGCGCGCGACCACACACACAGAGTAACTAGAGCAAGCACACACGCAAAAAGCTGTGAAAGTCAAGGTCAGATCACAGAGGGAGATGGGAGGATGTTGACAAGAGGAAGAAAAAAAAAAGCAGAGCCACGACTGCATGACCTAGATCTCCAGCGTGCTGCCACAAAAGCAGAATTAATTCACTTGATCTATGTGATGTTGTGAGCCCACAGCGGAGGAAATTGTCCACTGAGGCTGCAAATATGGATGACAGCAGCAGCTGAGCAGCAGTGGGACGAGACAGGAGGAAAAGGTCTGACCGTCGGTGACCCTGACCACTGTTTCAGTTTCCGCCATGAGTGTTCATCTGCCACGAGTTTGACAAAGATCACCTTCTCACATCGCGCATTTCCATAAGCAATGAGCGGGATATCAAGAGTGCTTATATAACAAAATATTTTGACCTACTATTGTGGGAGATTTTCTCATCGATGCATGGCAAGTGAGTCACACTGATGCCGTCTGTTGTTTTGCGCTCACAAGAGCCTTGCTTCCTTATTTATCATTTGAAAAAAAAATGTTTTGGAGATGCAGCATTCAGATATGTTCAACAGGATCATCTGAGAAATAAAGTGACGGAGTGGAACTTGACTTCTCTTTTACAAAATAAATTTCCTCATGCTTTATGTAACATTTCTCATCATGGAAGGAAGAAGATTCATACATTTTTTGTGATAACTGTCACAAGATGGATGGATGAGATGGTCAAAGGTCAGAACGTACGCTATTTCCGGTTGGTTTTCTGCAGCCACACTTTTTGCAAATCTGTGTCGATGAAACCAAAACAATCCATCCATCCATTTTTTTAACCCGTTTATGCTATCAAGGGTCGCAGGCATGCTGGGGCCCATCCCAGCTGTCTTTGGGTAGTAGGTGCGGTACACCCTGAACTGGTCGCCAGCCAATCACCGAGCACACATAAACAGACAACCATTTGTGCTCACAATCACACCTAAGAACTATTTTGAGAGTTCCATTAACCTGTCCTGCATGTTTTTGGAATGAGAGAGGAAACAGGAGTGCCCTGAGGAAACCCATGCAGGCACGGGGAGAACACGCAAATTCCATACAGGAAGGCCGAAGCCGGAATTGAACCCTGCACCTCTGCACTGTGAGGACGATGTGCTAACCAGTTGGCCAACGGGCCACCCCAAAACAATGAAAAAAAATCCAAAATCATCAAGGTCAATTCAGTGCATAAAATCTCTTGCTAAGGGTATTTATTCTCTTACCTGCTTTGACTTCCTTGTGTGACATCTCATTCTGAATCCAGATATGACCTCATTGCACCCTTTACAGCTTTAACAGCTTCCAAGCTCGCGCAAAGTTTAGAACATGGAATTGGGTGGCCTCACAAATGCGAGTCCAGATGAATGGTCAAAAATTTTCTGAAGCACATCTCAAATTTTGTGGAAAAACTTCCCAGATGAAGACGAGTTGAAGCTGTTACACAACGCTCAATTCCATTGAATCTGGGACATTGTGTAAAACGTAACTTCAAACAGAATACAATGATTTCCCATGTTTTTCAGCCTCAAACACAAGCTGTTTAATATGCAAACAGATTTATAACACTTTTTGGCCGTCGGTTGGGGGGGAGATAGTGTCTCATTTTGAATCTGATGGCTGCAACATGTTCCGAAAAAAAGTGGGAACAGGGGAAACAAAAGACTGGGTAAATTGAGAAATGCTCAACAGACTCCAAGCGATACCCACTCAAAACACCTGTTTTAAACGTTCCGCAGGTGAAATAGATAATTGGAAACAAGTGAGTGTTACGATTGCTTCCGAAAGGCTCAGTTGATCACAAGCAAGGAGAGGGCAACTCTCTCTGTGTGAGAAAATAGTCAAACAGTTGAAGGACAATATTCCTCATTTCCGAACATTATCCTCCATGGTCCACAATATCATCAAAAGATTCTGACAATCTGGAGAGATCTCTGCACGTAAAGCTGAAAACCAACATGAAATACCTGCGACTTTTGATCCCTCAGGAGGAACAGCATGAAAAAAAACTGCATCATTCATCATTTGGAAGAGATACTTACTTGGGCTCAGGGACACTTCAGAAAAAATTGTCAGTTAACACAATTCGTTGCGACATCAACAAAACCAAATTAAGAAAAAAGCCATAAATCATAACACCCAGAAATGCTGATTGGAAATCTTGATGACACAATGGGAGCATATACAATTTGGTAGTCAAGCAATTTAAGATTTCCATAGTCTGGACTCTCCTGAGCGTCATTCATGGTGCTGACTTGACTTGAGAGATCACCCTGTGCTGTGAGGTTCCTGGCCTGACTAGGTCATATTCAAAAGTCAGCAGATTCTCCTCTTCACTCATGTGACAATTTCAAGTCCGTTTGATTCACATTTAGTGACATAAAAACATCAATGACATCCCCGCAAACCTTAATTATCAACGTCATGGTCCTTCCTTGAGGAAACTACAATATCAAGTGTGTCAAAGAAAGACATTAAGGCTCCACAACTTAGTGTGCAAAGAGACTGGGGTGTCGCAAGGGGCCAATATGGGTCATCTGTGTCTTGTCACACTAACAGGAAGTGACTACAGGCTGTCTCAGCCTGCCGCAGTCACTTCAACAGGCCAGTGTGTCAGTCTGCTGCAGTGAAAGTGCAGAGGAGACCATCACCGCTGTCAGCACGGACTGACAGCACACTTGAGAACATCCAGGTGGGACGACGATGTTCCCGACCCCCATCGGTAATGTAGAAATGCATAGATTTGGTGTGACGTTGTGTTTTCATTAACTTCATTTCCACGCAGTGGCTGTTACTAGATGTATTTTTTGAGGCACCTCACATCTACTTTTGTTCATCCGAGTTTGTGTTTGGCCCTGTCCCAGTGAGTCATGCAGAATTTGCGATTATGAAACAGATCGAACGTAAAAGGCCGAGGGGGGGTCACTGCATGTCTATTTATAGGTATGAGCTCATGTCCAACTTTTTTAATCCCGCTCTTCATACCCACGCAGAACACTCATGCTCATGGTGATGTAACAGGTTTGTGCCGTTTCACAGCAATGTGTTCAATCTTCTACTGACCAGTTGTCATCAACATTCGCACTCGGATGGCGTGGGAGTTCCGCGCATTCTGAGTGTGCTCACAGCACATGTGCAACAATAATGCTCTGAGTGTGAATGAATTTGCAAAGTTGAAAACACAGCAAGGGAAAGAGACATTGCTTTCCACTGTGAGGTCCTGTCACGCAAGCTTGCACAAATTCACAGCACACACTTCAGAACAGAATTAGTCTTTATTTGCTCCAATCGGCAGTGTCACTAAGTTGTACAGTTGTACAAAAGAATCTGCTTTTACAAATGCCGTGGTGAGACTGTCACATCACTGTCAGACATTTTTTTTAGTACATCTTTTGATCAGAGATGCTCGTAAACTTTTCGAGATGATTTTTTGGGGCTGATTCCAAAACTGCCCTAATTTTTTTTTCTAGCACAGAAGCCTTTCATATGAACAATAACAATAAAATAATGGTATGTAATATAGTGATATTTACGAATTAAGGGTTAGGTCCAGCAACAGGCGGGATTTTTTTTTCTGTCATATAGATGTAAATTACAATGGATGTTTAGTTGTATATTGCATAAACTTTTCTCAGTCAAACTTGGTGTGTTAGAAAAAAAAAAGGAAAGACAAGTTCGAAATCAGCACGTGCAATACATTTATGGACACATAACGCCATCTCTGATCAAAAATTGCTGTTTACCAGTGTTGTTATGGATGTATGTACTACACATAATCTGCAGCAAAGCAGAACTCACTATTTCTGATATTTTGTACAGGCAGCTGAACAAATGGAGAGTCCTCCGAATTATGCAGTGCAGTTGCACTCTATGCAAACTAACCACCAAAATAAATGTAATGTCAAACCAAAGCCTCAATTACAATGTCCATCGATACATTTTATTTGACAGTGCACGCTTTAATATTAGAGCCGGTGAGCTACATGATATAAACTTCACGCTTAATAAAATTTGAGGACAATCCCAAAGTAAACACAAAATTTGCGAATAGCACGGTTGATATTACATAGCATAGTATAATAATGCATTTTTGAACGACTAAATGGTTATTATGTTGCTCAAGGCTGACCAAATGACAAATGTTTCACATACGGACGTAAATATTCAAGACAAGTCAAGTAATGTAAACGACCTCTGTTTCTAAAAAGGATACTTCTCAATAAACATATTCCTTTTATCAAACTACGTTCATGAATACTTCTCTGATGTCTCTTGTTTTTTTTTTTTTTTTTTTTTTTAGTCAGACAGAATTGTGAATGAAGGTGTATAGCTTTAAACTGAGAGGCTCTCTCAAGTTATGCAATTGAGGAAAACCTCCACGCAGAGCAACGCACATATTTGATTGGCTGAATCCCGTGAATGGTGAACATTTATGCTTGACATTCATGTCACACACGGCGCACTTTCATTCAATCCTCGGCTCCACTCGGCACCGCGCCACTTGAGCTCTGATTAAAAAGCCATCGGCACGCCTCGGATAATGCGAGTTTAGGCACAATGAGAGACAGACATAGTCTACAATTAAACTAACCATTTAGCTCACGAGCGACTGATAAACAATCATTCGATACATTCAAATTGGTATCTCTACTGCGATAATTGCAGACCATGAATAAAAGCATCATATTTGAAATAATGTCTTTCAACAAATCACCATTATGCAAAGCAGCAAACTATGCAACCGGCACGCCCCGCCCTCTCTCTCTCACGCGTCCGCGCGCACACACACACAAAGTACCCTTCTCCTCCTGTCAAACTTCGAAGTTACATTCAAAATGGCTGAGTTAAAAAATAAATATCCATACTCCGAATACAGTAAAATCTTCCTTATAAATGTTCTCAATATCTGTTCCAAATCCCCTTTCGTCCGTTTGAATGAATGAAAACAACTGGATTTGCAAACTCATCGACACAATTTCATGCTGCTGGTTATCTGACATGTACATAGATAACCTCGATGAAGATGCTTTCAATCTGAGTAAATACACAGTGTTTAAGTGTCAATGTAGCCACTTTTGATACGGAACCACATTCGGACACTATAGACACTACATCGTGAATGATGCGCTTATAATATCTGCAAGGTTACTTTTTTTTTTTTTTTTTACGTGGTAAAGAGAACAACACCACAATATCAAGAAGCATTCCTCCAGTACTATCACGAACAAATACAGCATCATGCCCAGTGTATGATTATCTGACAGCCATGATATCTAATATATGCTGAGTCATAGAATAAACGATCTGTTCCCCTATGTGGTTTGATTGTCTAGAAACTAAAACTCAAAGAGAGAGGCACCCAACAAAAAATATAAACTGGTAAACAAATAAAGAGATTTCTCTATATAAATATAATCTATAGTGACCTTGATGCACACTTATAGAAAACAGCAACCCTGGATCAAACATGTAGTCTTTGAAATCGCACCCTCCCTTGCTTTCGAACGTTTGCCACAAGGCAAGAGAGATCAGATGAATCTCTGCTCGGTACGAGTTTAGAAAAGCGCTTTAAAAGAGAAGGCACGCGTTTTTTTTTTTTGTTTTTTTTTTCACAGCACACCAGATGAAGTTGCGGGTTAGCAGCTGGGTTATTCACTTGCGGGAGATTTGACTTATTCGGCCCAGTCTAGTTCTAGAAAGCCCAGGCTCACCCATCAAGTCCTGCAAGCATTCCCACAAAAAAAAAGTGAAAAAAAGCCATTTGGTGCTACAGATGAGAAGCATTCACATTTGTTTTCGCCTGTGTCATCTTATTAGCTGCCTTTGTCTGAGGAGCTTCTGTCTTCATGCCATCAGGTCTTGTCACAGTGACATTTACTAAAACAGCTGCTTTGCTCTCTGACAACTTGGTTTCCTGATGATCCAGGGCTCCGGTCTTGGAGGCGCTACGTGGATGCAGAGCGGTCGCCGTTTTCCCCTGAGGGTGATGGAGCTCTTCTCCGATGTTGACAGTGAGGTTAGTGTAGAGAGGTTCCTGTTCTTTGGAGAGGAGCTCGTACGTCAGAGAGTTGAGGCCGTCAGAGCGCCAGTTGAGTCTGGTCCTTTTCAGGAGGTCAAATCTAGAATGTTCAAATCCGTTTGACATACAAATGGCATTATGCGTGTGTAAAAATAATTGTGAGGGTTAGAACACAACTGAGTCAATATCACTATTAGCTACCACTTGAGACGTGCCCCCATTTCACCCAAAAAAGAAGACATTTCCCTCTCGCGTTCATATTCATGTGTGTTTGTGTGCGTGTGCGTGTATTAAAAATTACATGTCATGGTAGACAGCGGCCCATCCCTTCGCAACATGATTCAGTTAGCAAGCTGAATGTATACTGTTTAACAAAAATAGTTTGACTTTCTGATAGATTTCAGGTGATATTTCATTTTGACATAGTGAACTTTTTTGAGATTGACAACATCCAACTACACACTATAATAAAAATTATGAATGTATAAATATGTATTGTATTCCATTTAAGAAAGACAAAAAGGTTGGTTGTTATGTTTCTGAAAACATCAGTGGATTCTTTTAAATGACAAAAAAAGTGTATATTGGAATGGAGATGAATATTTTGTTGGCTGTTATATTAATGCTTTCTCGTGCACATCCAATTTAAACAATTATAAAATAATATCAAATACACACATTATTAGAGACTTCTTATGGTACGTGCAATTGTTTGTCTACGGCCTAAAAGTTGAATTATCTTGCTCCATTTTCATGATGACCGAATGACTCTGACGAGGACGCCAAAAGCACTTTATGCTGATACTGAGCCGACGACTGCAGTGCGTACCTGTGTGGGTTTTGCTCATTCCCTCGGTCTCCTCTATGCTTGATCATTTTGTAATGACCGACGGCCACTGGGGGGCGCACAATTTTCATGCCAGACAGACGCACTCTGGTTGAGCAGCAGACAATCGTGAAAAAGAGCAGAACATTAACATTCAAGGAAAATCAGTCAACAAGATTCAAAATAAAACACTGACTGCTATCACTACGATTGATGACACGACTGCTAAGTGCACTTTTCTGACAGCTTTCTATATTTCATAATAATAATACATTTTATTTATAAGCGCCTTTCAAGACACCCAAGGACACTTTACAATAACAAAAAAACACAAAACAATACGCTGGAAAAGGCAGATGGGTACCGAACATGAACTCCGATTCCTGTTCATGATTAGTTCTTGTTTTTTTCCTTCGCATCATGGCCAAATTGCTATCTCATGAAGAGCTTCGTTGAATTCTTTCAGTGTGGTTCGTATGCTACTCAAAATAATCGAAGTCATGTCAAAGATGAACAAATACAGACAGCAATATTATTGCAACTTGTTTCATATCCAAATGTTTGCAAGCGTTTTGTAGTCCCACATGAATTTTTAATATCTGCATTTTTGGACTATGGCAGATTTTGTCTCTGGCTGCCCTCATATTCTACCGCCTGTGATTTGTTTTGTTCTCGATTGATTTGTAGCCAACTGTCATTCAGTCTTGGTGCTTTTATTAGTTAGTATGTATGTTTGATAATCGAGGTCGGGATAATAGGTTTCCAGTAGTTGCAACAAATGAGATGAGGAAAAAAAAAAAAAACACAATTGCAGCACAACAAATGTGTCAAGCCGTTTGTTACCAGTGCAGATCAGTCAAGATGGCAGCTTCATCTGTTTCGTCAAGTTCCCTGTGAATACTTTTCTGCCTTTCCTTGTGCCTATAAACATGTCATTATTTGCCAGCTGACTCTTGGCTGCACTTCCCTGGCGACCACTACACGTTTGGATGTGACTGCACGTGATGCATTCAAGTGTGTCTCCGAACAGGAAGTAGTGGAAGGGAAGCACCAAAGGGAGAAGCCCCACCCGACGAGCTTTTCCATGCAAACATACTCACTGCGCTCACTGAGACACACAGCAAAGCCACATGAGCGGTAGGTGATGTGAAGATGAGAGATGCTGTTAGCTCACAAAGAATGAAAAGTGAAAACAAAGAAACGTGCGGGAGCGAACGTACAAAATGATGAGTGACAAAAGCCAAAGATGATCACGATGAGTCGACCACACGTTTTACCTTGCTGCGATGTCATCATCCTCTCCCCCCCAGCCCCAATACTGGTTGGGGAAGCCGTTCATCTTCATGTACTGGTCCGGAGTCACAGCAGAAACCCCACCAAAATACTGTGGGTATGGTAGCCTGTGAGGGTCATACAGCAAACATAAGATGTTGATTAGAAAATCTCAGAGCACAGATATAAAATTCGGACAGAACGTTATACAGTAAACTGGAACTAGAAGACATTGCCTGGATTTTGATGGATTACCTAAAAGTATATTCTTCTAACTTTAGGGGCATAGTAGGTTGTCGCTGGTGTGTTTTGCTCAGAGAGACATCTTAGAAATACTGTCTTGCTGTTTTCAGCCACCGAAATGATACAAGCATTACCTGGGAGTCCATTAACTCAGTGTTTTTCAAACTTTTTTGAGCCAAGGCACACTTCTTTCATTGGAAAAATCTCACGGCACACCACTAGCTGAAAATGTGAAAAAAATAAACGCTTATTTCAATAATTAATGTGTTATATTGTTACTATAACCGTTTTTAGCATTGAAGAATGACATTATAACAGCTTGAATTGGAATCAAATGAACACAAAGAAAAAAGTATTTTCTCATCTTTCATATTTATTGTTTCACCGTCGTCTTGCATTCATTCATGCCTCACAAATTCGCTTGTGTCGAAACACAAGGCAATTGGCTAGCCGTTGCTGCTCCCTAACGGTATGGGAGGGTACTACACGATTACTTTCTGGGCGATACACTGCACAGGCATACAAATTGGATATTTTCCCGCGGCAAACTAGCCCAGGGGTCGGCAACCCAAAATGTTGAAAGAGCCATATTGGACCAAAATAAACAAAAAACAAATATGTCTGGAGCTGCAAAGTATAAAAAGCCTTATAATGAAGGCAACACATGCTGCATGTATCTAAATGAGCTATATTAGCCTGCTATCAACATGACTAAGTTGGCTACAAATACACAACGAGCATTCATGATTAAAAGGGTTTTTTTCCCCCCTGCAGTTTATCCGGTAGAGGAGGGGTGCCCAAACCTTTTTGACGGAAGATCTACTTTTCGAACAAACAACCTCCTGCGATCGACCCGTTTCCGCACACGCGCGCATACGCACACACTTACACACGCATGCCAGCAACAGCCATATCGGCCGCTAAGATGAACGAGGCACGGGACGCACTTTCGCAGCGTGCAAACTATCGTAGCTCACGTGTACCGTTTAAAAATGCTTCTCTTGGCCGCCCAGATTCCCATTCTTAGCAAGTGCTCTCGGTGAATGGTTCATGAAAGGCAGCTGGGTTTTTGTTTTTACAACACCCCCCTGACTGACATTCCCTCCCTGGTGATAGAAAGGTGTGTCGCAGGCTATGACGCAAATATTCGTTGACGAAATGTTGACATTTAATATTTATTGGAATTATTATATACTATTATATACTATTCATTGGAAAACATTAATAATGTTTGTGTCATGTTTGTCCTCTGACAGAAACCATATTAAAACAAAAAAATATATTTCCCTCCCATATTTTTCCATTTTCAAACATTCTTGGAAAAAATCTAAGGAGCCGCTGGGGGGCGCTAAAGAGCCGAATGCGGCTCGAGAGCCGCGTGTTGCCGACCCCCGAACTAGCCCTATGACAGGGCTGGGCAATGCATTTTCCAAAGAGGACACATGAGAAACTGGAAAGATTGTTGAGGGCCATGCAAACACGCCAACCAAAACGGTGTTCCATACAAATGTGCTTACAAAAAGCATTAAATTATCTTGTTTCATAAACTGTTGCTTGTATAGCTACACTCCATATTATTATAATTAAGAAATCAAAAATGTCAACAAAATTAAAAGCAGCCATTAAAATTCCATTGATGCACAACTGAACATTATGCGACTAGTTTATCACCATTCACAAAATCACGTCAACAAAGTGGCCATCAGGTTTACTTTTAAATGTGCTGATATTTTGAACTTGTTAGCTCATCAGGCATTCATAATTGGGAATCTTAACTCAATCAATCAAGTATAAGTTAAAAAAAAAAAAGTGCAGTCAGGACAAAAAAATGCCACCAAATTTAGCAAAAATGTCACCGTGTTGGCAACACTGCAGAGACACAAGTCATAACTCTTGCTCGCTTGTACCATCTGCATGCATGCACAACAAAATAAAAGCAGCACAAATTAAAAAAAAAAAAAAGTCATGCTCATTTTTATTTGTGACTTCGAGAAAATTGCGAGTGCAGACACTGTGGACAGGCCAGACGTGAGCCGTACTTTGGCCAGGTCTGCCATAAGGATGCCTTTGTGGGAATTGTACCAAAGGGACAAGGAATGAAGTACCCTCGGAGTCTCATACGGTAACTACTTGACATTGACTTTCTGCGAATACTCATGGTGGGCATTTTACCTGTATTTGAACTTGTCCATGGCCACGGACAGGTGTGTGGGAAACTGTTTGTGGCAAGTGTAGGTATTGTGGTCGTTCTCGGGCAGCAGATCAACATCATGGAGGAAGATGCAGTTCCAGTCTTCATCTCGGAGAGCTTCCCGCACGCCAACATTCAGCAGCTTGGCTCGGTTGAAGGTACCGTTCCCCCACTGCAAGACATATAAACACGCGCTAGCATGAGCACAAGTTTTGAAGGGCGAAAATTTGAAGAAGCAACGACAAGACACATCACAACAACAAGACCGAGCTTCTCCTTAATGTGTGCTGGACACACGACAGGTGACTGCAGGAGTTGCCTTTGACGTCAGCTTTCTTTTTATAGCCAAACATTTATAAATGCGCGTCCAACAGCTCGTCACTTTAGCGTTGGATAGGCTGCGGCAGTTAGACTCAAGTTACATTCAAGGTGCGCACATGAAAAACTGCAATAACAATGAAGACATCATTGATGCGATTTTTAGAATTTGGAATCTTCCCTCTCAGAGAATAGAACACAACACCTTATAAAAACAAGCAAATGATTGTTCTGTAAATGCAAAATGCTGTTTTTGCTGACAAACAAAATAGATCACTTTGAGAGAAAGTGTGCGCAAAAACATACTGAGTACGGTATGTATCAAACCATGGCCCGTATTTGTATCTGGCGCTTCACAACCAGTAATGGTGACCCAAATGAGGAACATTGATGAAATTACTTTAAATGAACAATTATCATCAATGGAATCCTTCTCCTGACCTGTTGCACGATGTAGATGCTGTAGTGGATCTGTTGCCTTTGCAGGAAAGGATGAAGGTGGTAGAGGAGAGCAAGAAGGTGTGTCTGTCGGTTCCGGTACGGTACCACGATGGCAGTGTGGTGCCGAGGCTCACAGTCCGGTGGACGGTAGCGTCCACCGGGCAACACCAAGGGGTTTTTCGTTCTGATTTCCTCCAAAGTCAGAGGTGAGGAAAGATGGACAGATACGGGCCCAACTGTGGGGAAAGGAAATGTTTTTCCATATGACATAAAATCCTTCCCACTATGTCGAATCAGATGGCAGTGGTGCCTTGAGATATCAGTGACATTTGTTTCTTGACCACTTGTATCTCAAATCATCTTTCTCCATTGCTTCAATTGTGCTGCTCATTCTGGTGTTTGCGCCATGGCCAACCGGGGACGGTATAAGACAAACATACTGATATACTGAAATGGAGGCTCAGCTCCTCATCTCGGGTTCTATGTATGATTCGTCATTAGTTGCAGGGGATAAAGAACACATGCTGTGTACCTGTGAGTATTCTTTTATGGCCTGTTTGCATGGGTTGCAGCACCGTTTGCATTCATATAGCTGATGATTAACTCTTCACGCGCCATTGACTTGAAATGCAGTCAACAAGATTCCGAACAAGGAGCGCCTTCGACGTCAATTTCTGTCATATCAATATAGTTTTAATGGGAATGGGCGGAGAAAAGTTTTGGCCAAATGTGGTTTGATCATTTAGCTGTGAAAGTTAAAAAAAATACGAAGAAGAATTCTCATCAGATGGCAGCATTGGCTCCCTTTTGAATGAGCTCATCGTGTTTCACAACAATGTGTAAACTCCTAAATCATGGTGGACCGTTAAAAAAAAGTGACCATTACAAGGAGCTTGTGATTGATCAAAGTGTTAAAAATGATTAGCATCAAAGTCAAAGTTGTGCTTAAACTATATCTTTTCACAAAAAGCTTGCCTTCTGTTTTGTTTTTTTTGGGTGGATGTTTGTCCAAAATAGGTGTTTTGGGTGAAACCAACCCATTTTTACTTTACAGCTGCCACTCAAGGTTTTCTTTTTTGAGAATGTCTGGCATTGGAAGAGGTAAAGAGTAACAGCACTGCCGACAAAAAAAATGCATAATTGTTAGCTCGTGTGCCTGTGGATTTTGCTATTTTTTTGTTGCTAGCATTCAGGTAGCCAAGACTAGGTGATTGCTTTCAATTCTCAATGTGTAATTCTTTTTTCATGTTATGTTTTGCTTGATAGTAAACCTCAGCTAAGTGTGGTAATAAACAGCTTGAAGCCTAATCTTTGATGAAATGTTCAGTGAGTTGAGTCACCTGTCACCACACAGCGCTCATTTCTCAAGTCTGCGCTCGCAACTCAAAGCAAAAAAACAGGCCAACTGACTGGGTGTCTCTCAAAACAAAACAAAAAAAGTCGAGTCACTTGTATCTCAAGGAACCATTGTATCTTTCATATATTTACTCCCTCACCCAACAGAGGAGACACAATCTGGCAGGTTGCCAGTGGTGGTCCTGTCGTGGGAGCGCCAGTGCCAGCGTTCCGAGGTGGGGGAGGCGGTGCTCTCAGATGACTGAGGTTGGTGTAGACGTCGTGGGGTCGCGAGTAGTCAAACTCTTGCTCTGTGGTGTGCACCAGGACGGACACCAAGCCTCTGAAGCCCCCCAGGGAGAAGTAGAGCACAAAGGCAAATTGGAAGCCCACCAGCAAGGCCAGCGTGCACGGAGAGCCCAGAGAGTGGCCGCAGCATGCCATAATCAAGTATGCTGATCGTACACACGGAGAGATGGGTGCAGTTATGGGGGAAGGAGGAGGCAAGGAGAGGAAGAGGAGGGGATGGAGGGACAACAAAGGTTGAAGGTTCAGGCGTGCGCCAGGAGGCCGCGCATCATCAGGGACAGATGGTCGTATTGGTGAAGCTCAGTCTGGACCGCCATCACCTCCCAGTCTCACTAAGAAAACACGAGGAAGATGACAGTGATGTCACGTGAGGAGCGGAATTCGGACCCAGAAGTAGATATGATATAAAAGTTGAAAAGTATGTTTTTATCTGCCAAAATACAAAGTAACTACAGGGAACAGGGTTAGATGCAGAAGACAATGACTCTGTTTGTATACTGTGAGAGATTGTCAATTATGATCATACGCGAGCTTTCAAGGAGGGCGGCACAGTGGGCGATCGGTTAGCACTTCCGCCTCACAGTGCAGAGATGTATGGTTCGATTCCGGCCGGGCCTTCCTGTGTGGAGTTTGCATGTTCTCTCTGCGCCTACATAGGATTTATCCGGGTACTCCAGTTTCCTCCCACATGCATGGCAGGCTAATGGAACACTCTAAATTGTCCCTAGGTGTGATTGTGAGTGAGCGATTGGTTGTTCGTCTATGTGTCCCCCGCGATTGGCTCCAGCACGCCCACAACCTTTGTGAGGATAAGCGGATTAGAAAATGGTTGGATGGATGGAGCTTTCAAGGTTCATTTTAAATGTACTGTATTTATTTTCGTAATCCTATACCTATTTACAGGAGGGGAATGTCAAACAGTTGTCTGAGGATTGTAGTTAAATTAATCACACACTACTTATTGACTTTTTTCCCCTTGCATTTGACAAATACTCCATATATTTACAAAAAAGTAAATACTAGAACACATAATTTTTTTTTAATCAAACAAATTAAAAAAACGAACAAATTTGCTCTAAAAAGTCATTACAATAACTGAATTAATACACAAAAGTTAAAACGAAATAAATACTAACTACTGTTCAATTAAAAAAACTTTTATGATTTACAAAATTACAAAATTATGATAAGCCCGCTAAAAGTAGCCCATGCTCTTTTGTTGTTGTCTGTCCACCTGCTCCACCGAGTGCTACTCTAGTTAGTTACTTTACTGGGAGTATTGCTGCTGATCTTTGCAGGTCTCATTCCAGCCACTCTGTGACAGGAAGCATTCTCCCCTTCCCTCTGAAAGGCATCGATATGCAGTCTTGCACGATAGCTGCAAAAGTGTCTGCTGCAAATGTAACCCAACCCGTGGCACTGACACGCAACCTGAAATAAATGTCATGTTTCTGTCCTGATTCAGCGATGTGGCATTTCCGTGCGCCTGTGGAGCAAGTGGCGCTGCGCGATGCCTGCAGATCAAATGACTCCAACGTCACACAGCTCTCTGTCAGTCTGCACAATTGCCTGCAAGAGCAGGCTTGGTACGCCTGCGTTTATGGCGCTACTCACTGTAGGTTTTTTTTTTTTCAACCTTCACAACGCAGCTGTGAAATGGAGCGAGATGCAAGTAAATAGGGCAGTAGCATCTGTGCTCCAGATGATTAGCCCATCATCATCGTTGTTGCAAGGCAATCACCCCCAACAACAACAAGTCCGAGCGAATGTGTTTGAATTGACTCGTTGGCCGCACGCCAGCTCCGAATTCTGCTGTGTTTACAATCTCTGTTGCTCCTGCCGACTCACCAGCTAGCACGTCGCCGCTGCGACATTTCCAATCCAGCCCGAGGCTTCCGCCGACAACCCACAGGCCGCAGCCAGCCTCCTCAAAGAGGCGATGGAGCAAAAGATCCAGTTTGTTCCCAAACTGCCGCTCGCTCCTCCTCCTCCTCTTCCTCTCCGTCTTGTTTCGCTGTTAATCGCTCATCTGGGGGCGGAATCGATGGGCTGCAGACGAGTTGAAATGCAAAAGCATGGTCGGATGGCGATGCACGTCGGCGCACTGTAAACACGAGCGAGTGCGCCGCGCGCTGCGACGTCGGCAGCATCAGCGCGTAGTCAACGAGCGCCTTTTTTGAAACCCACCTGCCCCTTATTCCCATGCCCTGTTAGTCGCTTGTATTCGCGGCAGCTGGTGAGTTCAAAGGTTAATTGTAGCGTCTGCCACCTTTTTATTGTATTTATTTAAGTAAATAAATGTATTCAAAATACATTTGACAATACAATTGACCAATTAAAAAAATACTAATTACTGTATATAAATAACAATAAAAATAATGCCGGGTGGTTAGTACGTTCGCCTCACAGTGCAGAGGTGCAGGGTTCGATTCCGGCTCCTGACCGCCTTGTGTGGAGTTTGCATGTTCTCCCAGTGCCTGTGTGGCTTTTCTCAGGTTACTTCAGTTTCCTCCCACATTCCAAAAACATGCATCATATTTTAATGGAAGACTCCAAATTGTCCCGACACGTGATTGTACGGTTGTATGTCTTTGTGTGACCTGCGATTGGCTGGCGACCAGTTCAGGGTGCACCCCATCTACTACCCAAAGACAGCTGGGATAAGCTCCAGCATGCCTGCGACCTTTGTTAGGATAAGTGGGTTAGAAAATGGATGGATGGATGAAATATTACAGAACTCTTGAGGGTAAAAAGGCTGGATAAAAGAACAGTGTAGGCCTCTTGGGCCTCTTGTTAACAACCCTGCCAAATTTGCTACATTTGCTTTCCTGACCCAACTTGTTTTACTGGTTCAGGTCACATTTTTTGCTCCACTGGTAAAGAGCTGCACGAAATCCCATGGGTTGAAGTGTCCAAAGCAGGTCAGGGTGCATTTTTTATTTCATATACTATGCCCTGTCTGTGGGGAGACAGGGTACTGCACTTACAGGTATGTATCACCATTAGCATTAGCATGTTTGCAATAACACGTCAACATTTGCCCAATGTGTCCACAACAAACACCTAAATGTGCTGTATGCAACTTATTTAAAATTGTTGAATCGGTACATTGATGATGTTTGAAGAGCTAGAAGGGTTGCGCAATTACATAATCTGAAACCTGATTGGCATGGGATGTGAAAGATCAGAAAGTTTTTGTGTTCCCAACTTGGAAAGGTCACAAAAAAAGCAGTGCTATATTACAATATATATTGTAGCGCGACATAAAAATATCTACGATATAACCCTGTATTGTTTATATCGCTATTTTGTTGCGTGAGGGTATTGAGTTAGATCATCGGCCACAGTAACACAACATTGCTTTTCTTTCGTGTCATCCTTGTGCCTCATGGTCCAGGCATTACCAATCATCCATCCATCCATTTTCTAATCCACTCAATCAATCAACCCACGCTTCATCAGAATGTTACATTAGTGTTGTATGCGCTCTTTTACTTTGCCGAGGTATCGATAGATACTTGCTATCGACAGATCATCTATATCAAGTGACTTGGTGCAAAAGAAAAAAACATGAATGGGAACATCCTAGTGGATGGATGATGGATGGAAATTAAATTGAAGGAATGGTAAATTGACAGGGTGGATAGATACTGACTGTCGACCTGTCGCTGCAAAATGGCACATACACATCTTTGACATAATTTATTTGCATTCTGTTGTGTTGGTAATAATCTGTGAAGGTTTACACTGGGGGGAAAATGTACATATAGCACCATTAAACATAAGATATGGATATTTAAATTGACGACAGATTCATGTGTTCAACCCAGTACGTGTCAACTCCAATAAGGACCCAGTGACATCTAACAATCTAACAATTAAAATGATAGCAGTTATACTATGATGACAAGAGTAGAATGTGTTTGCTTCATTCCATAAAACGTTCGCCTTGTTTAATATTTCTGCAATATGATATTGGACCCAGCGGTTGCTCTCTGGCTTAATGCAGCATTTCGAAATGTCTTTATTCACATGCAGCAGTAGCTTGTCAGATTACAGAGTGGAGACAGGACAACATGTGTGTGGTTAAAGCGCTTTTGCGTTACCAAGCGGAGATAAAGTGAGCAGAAACTGTGCAAAAGAATGCATCAACACTACTTTTGTTTGCAGCACTATGTGTACACGATCTTTTTTTTTAGAGTCCGTCAGCAAAGCCGGTGCGTGTTGTTGCTTAAAATGGGGCACAATGCTACTACTTGGGTGTCCCCCTCAAGGACTACTTACAGACAGCGGAATAGTGATAAAAGGCACAAGAGAGTCCCTTGACACAGAAAGGCTGGAGGTTCAGTTAGGTAAATCTAAAACATGTTTACTGATGAGAAGAGGCCGCTCGGTCAAGCGAACCCCAAGTCGAAAGAAAACACGTAACCGAACTTGAATTAGTATCTACATTTCTGTTTAAAAAGTCTTGTTTCTTGCAATGGTGAGAAAGAGCGTTCAATACGAACACTAGATGTTGCTAAATTTAAAGACAAGACCTGAGCAACTCTTCCAATGTACAACACTCAAAGTCCTAAAAAGCAAATGTTTCTAGATTTCAAGATCTATAACGTGGGGCTTTTCTGGGGGGGTTTCCCTCCATGGTTAATCTTAATTAAAAAAAAAAAAAACTTCAACTGCGACATTGTGCAATGGGGGATTTTTCTCTTTTTTTATATATTATGGCTTGGGACAAACATTCTTCCCTCTCAACTGAAACTGAATTTAAAAAATAAAACTTTGAAGTTTTACGCTGGTGGTCTATTTTATCCGCTTCCCTCCCCTCAAAGAAAAACTACCATTAAAGAAATTTCCAATCTTCTCAAATATTTTGAAAGTTTATTAATTTAAATGGTTTTCTTCATTTCTCCATCACTTGCCCTTGATACTCTGCATCCCCGAGCAACCCCCCTCCTCTACTTTTTGTAGTTTCCAAACTGGACGGCCAGTCGGTCGCTGACGCAGCGGAATGTTGCGGGCTGCACCTCCCAGTAGTTGACGGGGTTGGAGAAGAGACTGATGCCATGGTAGAAAGCTCTCTTCATTCCTGCTCCTTTAGGACAGAAGGCATTCAAATCCACCTTGCCGATGTTGTTGTTGTGGAGGTACACCACCTTGAGAGCAAAAGTACAACACTTGTGGTATGTCCTTGCAAAAACATGATATAGCTGCAGGTTGCCGTAGACTCACCTGTAAGTATTTCATATCCGGGAGACCTTTGGGAACAACGGAGATACGATTGTTGTCCAGGTGCAGCTCTCTCAGCCTCGGTACGAAGGCAAGACTTCCATTCTCTATGTTACGGATGTGATTGAAACTAAGGCCCAACCTGGAGCAAAAGGGAACAAGGAGGTAAATTGTACCTTCAGTCACAGAATTATCGACATTTTATATAAAATGTAGCTAATTTCTATAGGTTGATCATTTTTGCGGCATTAATGCCAGTTGTTTTAGTCTGTCTATGGCGTTTTGCATTGTGTGTTGGCATTCAGCAAGGATCCTTTCGTAAATCAAGGTAAATGTGCTTTGGTTAAATGCGAGGAGTGTAATTCCCTTTGTTTTCTATTTCATGTTAAAGTAAATTTCAAACTCACACACACACACACACGCACACACGCACACACGCACACACGCACACACAAGCTGTTGTCGTTCCTTCTCAAAAGGGGTTAATTAAGCCTGTTGAAATAAAAAAGGAACACAACATAAAACAAAGCTCACAATTGTGTGTTTTGGTAGATTATTTCTGTGTAAATTGAGTACGATCCCACAAGTGTTCCATATGGGGTTGAGGTCAGGACTGTTGGCAGGCTACTCTCTATTCTTTGTTCTCCAAAATTTTGGAGTTAGTCTCTAAAAAAAAAACACCGCCATGTTGGGGCAAGCAGTTCGTCTCTCGCAATTGTCTTCAATGAAGATACTGTACTGCCTCCACCAAATGGTGTCACTCGGTTCACTTTGACTTGACAATTGCTTAGGCACAATCTGGAACTGTCACTGATGCACATTCATTTCAGTTTTTGCATTTAAAAACGAACGATACAGCTCACGACAACAATTGTTAAAATTTCCCAACCAGTTTGGTTTATGTTGAGGTTGTGGAAAAAGTGTAACCTGAACAGGTTCTTGTAGCGTTTCAGGTCCTCCAATTCCACAGCCTGGATCTCATTGTGGTCAAGGTGAAGCTCATGGAGACTCTCAGGGAGATCTGAAAGAAAAACACACGTTTGTCTCTCTAAGACTCCACTGACTTCCACAACTCTTTCTTGCATTCTAATTTGGACTGATTGAGTTTCTCATCATGCACATGATTAATCAAATTCATGAACTGTACTTTATTTCAGACCAGTAGCCCACATAAAAAGGGAAAAGAGAAACAACAGTAACAAGCATTTATGGGATGAGACAAGGTAGGGATAAATAAACAAAAAAGTGAAGACGTCGTGCTTGGAAATGAAATAATTCTGTCCGAGTCCATACTTTCATAACATATTGAAAGGGTCATCGTGCCAACCATCAATTTCTCTCTCATTTTCTGCACTGCCGATCTTGTTCAGGATCTTGTTTAGGCTCACAGGAGGGCTGATTTCTATCCCAGATGATGGACGATGAAAGTTGTGGTACATGCTGAACTGAGATTCACACCAATGGCAAATGTGTCGTCTTGATTCAACATGTTAATTGAACTGTAGGAGAAAGCCACAGTAGCTGCAGAAAAGCTGCCCAGAAAGAACTAACCCAGTCCACAAACCTGGAACCTTCTTGCTCTGAGGCAATAATACCTTGAGCTCAACTACAGTCCTGTTTTCACATGATGTTTCTATTAGAAATGTATTTTGCCTGTCAGTCACAGAGAGCAAATACCTTTGGGCACTCCAGTCAGTCTGCTGTCTGAGATGCGCAAAAAGTTCAGTTTCAGACCCTTGAAGGCACCAGGCTCAAAGCCACTGTTCTGGATGGGGTTTGCTCCCATCTCTGCAAGAGAGAAGACACAACTTTATGTCAACACAAAGACCCTTTAATCACGAGCGCCCAAGTGAATAACACAGAGTTGTGTTTGGGATCTTTGACCTATGCAGTTCATGTTGCCCAGTCCTGCGAAGGCACCAGCTTGCACCTTCCTGATGCGGTTCTCGTGGATCCTGATCTCCACCAAGGAGGCAGGCAAGTTCTTGGGGATGCTGGTCAGCAGATTCTTGGAGAAGTAGAGCTTCTGCATGCTCTGGAGAGGGATGAATGCCCTGGGATGGACCTTGGAGATGTAGTTGTTCCTCAGAGATAATCCCTGTGAAAAGCAAGTCAGTTACGTAGTAGCGCCTGAATAGACAACCCCACGCGCCACAAAAAAAGAGCTTATTGCATGATGTCTTGTCTGCCTGTCTAAGTCTTGGTGCTAGAGAATGTGCGAAAAGCGTCTCTGCAAAATGAGAAGCAATGTGAAGTTGATTACTCCCATTTGGCCTAAGACTTCAATTTTCACACAATTTAAGATGACAAAGGGTGAAAAAAAAAGAAAATCAGTCTCTTAGGAAGTGGAGGTTCTTAATGATATTTTACACTACCAATGAGGCTAATATCAGCTGAGTCGGTAACACAACCAGCAGAGCTCAATTTAAATGCTACCCGACTGCATGTTTGTCTTACATATAAATTTGTGAGGCCCTTGAAGTCATTCTCTCTCAGCTCTGTGATATGGTTGTTCTGAAGATCCAGGAACCTGGTGTCGGGAGGAATGTTACTTGGCACCTCACTCAGACCTGCAGACCAACAAAAACACAGAAGGGAGTCATACTCCATTAAACACTTCACACGGGTAACTTGTGAAGCAAAGCCCTTAAAAGCTGGTTTGTGTTCACTGTGCCACCACTTGGGATATCCCAACTTAGACTTCAAGAAAATAAGGCCTGTAACTCAAACCAATCATCGTGCCACGCAATGTCAAATGAGCACTTTGGGTTTCTGAGTCATTATTTTAATGAGAGATGGACATAGGATACAACCATGGAGGTCACTTACAGACGTCAAATTGGCACATAACTGATTGCATGCAAATAAAGACATGCACACTTACACACACACACACACACACACACACACACACACACACACACACACACACACACACACAACAGATGGGGCCAGCAGATGTTTCCCGTCTGGTCTTCATTTGACCAAAATCTCAAAGGCGACGATTTAAGTACCATCGGTATCAAGCTTCTGTTATTAAATGAAAAGGAAACAGCAGAAGCTGGCACTCTGTTGGTTGTGAGTTATCGCGTGTGTGATGAAGTCGACACTTGACGACTTAAGTGTCTTGTTCCGAATGCCTTCGGGAAAAAAAATTAGGACACAAAACGGTGACACCGTACAGTCAGTGACACCAGGGTTTGAGAAAGCATATTTTTTGCTATTTCCAAATAAAAAGTTAATTATATGGGATACATCCATCCGTTTCTTTTACTACTAATCCTCCTCAGGGTTACTGGTGAGCTCTCCCAGCTGACTTTGGACGAGAGGTGGACCACACCCCGGATTGGTCACCATTCTATCTCAAGACACCAGCGTATGATGATACCCTGTTCGTCTCCAAATGTTTAGAAATACACCTCTACCTCAACATTTGGTCACTGGAGCCAAATGACACTGGTTGGACTTGGTCATGAACCGCATCATAAAGAAACGCGCATTTGTGTATCAAATGTAGTCAGTTGCTTAAGCAAACCTGATCGTAACCGCGTGCATGATGCAAGAAGGTCAGCTTGGCAGCTCGTACCAGCTCTCCCATTGGGATCCAACATTCCGCAGACCACATCTACCAGCCACAGCTGTCCATTCAGAGTTAAGTTTAGATACGGCTTTGGCTGTAACCAGCCGCACCCTCCCTTTCACCACCATGGATCGAACGTCGCGGTGCCCTCCGGTTTCGGTTCAAATCCACGTAAGCAATACTGAGAAGGATTCAAGTTGCAGGAACTGCGTGTGGACTTTTGTTTGACATTTCAAATCTATTCCTGAATGTTCCTGAACAAGAGGGTGCTCTGGGAGCATAATCTCATGATGTGAGTTGAAGATTTAATTTTTTTTTTGATCTGTGCCAGAGCAGTTTTCAACAAGCCTGCTGCAATTGACCCCCTTATATGTGGAATGCAGCATCAAAGTTGAACAAACATTCGAGAAGCACACCGATCAAAATGCCTCTCCAGCGACCTAAAACCCCCGACCGCAGATTTCACCCGTAAAGCCACACAGCTCAAAGGTCTCGCCACAGACTGACAAAACTGGCACCCTGTCAAACCCCAGCACCCCTCCAGACAAATACTGAACATCATTTGGGGATGCACACGGAGAGGAGACAGACGCCACTGCCGAACACACATCTGTTCTAAATAAGCATTCAGGAAATTATATGCTTCCACATTTATCCTCTGCAGAAACACCAGGGCTCCACAGTAAATACAGAGAGTTCACAAAGTGATGAATCAACACCACCATTATGTCGAAACAGAAACTTGGAGAAAGTTGAGAATCTTCATACCTGCCGAGATGGCTGATCACCGTAGTTTTGGTCCAAGCAACGTTGACAGGACAATTTGAGAATTGTTAATTCAATAGGTGATTGCTGAACATCATGTTTGATGGAGTTTTGATTGTTTACTCGATGATTATAGTTTACATTTGGAATTGTGAGTATTTATCAGGTTGACTCTTTACATTTATGATCCTACCTGGAGTAATGCTAATAGATACGCTATGTCAGGTGGAAATCTCCACTGTCCAAATTTGGTCAATATTCTTTTTTTTTTCACAAATCGATAACATTGGTGAGTTCCCACACTGGTCTATTTGTTTGACAAATTATTGACCAATTGAAGTGTTAAAAATGACTTGATGCAATGGTAATGGCTCGGTAAACATGTAGTTTTTTTTTTGGAGGGTTTCCTGAAAAGTGATGTTCTGGACATGCGAGGTCACCACACGATGCCAGCGAAATGTATTTGAGGATGAGAGTGTCACCTAAACAGATGGACCGTTGTGACGTGTATCTTGCTGGAAATGGTTTGAACTTCATGTCCGTGTAGATTTGCATCTATGCTGGTCTCCTAAAGTTGAGGTGAAAGCGCCTGGACTTCTTGATCATCGAAGACGTTTCACTTTCAATCCAAAAGGGAACTTGAAGTATGAAGAAAATTTTTAGTTTTCAACTGACATTCCTTGAAAACCTGAGAGGTCCCTGTTGGATCCGATTGAACGTTTGTGAAACCGTCCTCTTTCCTACTAAATTCTTGTGAAAACACATTGCCCTGAACATGAAACAGTGTCGGTTATTTGTTCAAGATCATCCTGATTTTCTCTCCGCCGCCGTCAGTCCTTCGCTCATTTGGTCCCTCTCAATCCATCAACGTTCTCCGGTCCCCATCACAGCTCCACTTATTTTCGGATTAAACTTTATCGTCCACTCAATATCTACGCACAGAATCTGGAACCGAGAATCCCAGAAAGAGACGCTTTTACTTGTCAAAATTTTGCTATCTGGAGCAGCAAGAGTCGTGCAGCGCTCAGACTTTCAGTCAGTACGTGATTCAGCTGTGCGTCATTCATTAAAATCTGCTTTCCCCACGGGCCCATTTAAATATCTTGCACATTTTGTGCTGACAAGTACCACAGATACATTTCCTTGTCCCCCCCCCCCCCCCCCGCCACACAATACATACGCTTACTCACTCACTCACACAGATAAACACACACTCACTGACCGAGGTCAGAGCACTGGACCACTTTGAGTCGACACTGGCAGCCGAAGGGGCACATGGGCATGTCAGGAGGGGGCAACTCTTCAATGGCTGATCCTTCTTCCTCATCCTTCATCATGGCCTTCATGTCAATGTCCAGACTGTCCAAGGCAAAATCCCAGAAGCCTTTCTGCTCGAACGGCAGGGCAGCGGACGGGGACAGCAGCTGGGCCACGCATAGTAATAGCAGGAAGGAACAACAGGACTGCATCTTTGCTTGGGACACCTTCAAAGAAAACAAACACAGCAAAATGAAGAGGAGCAGAATTTGATACATCGCAAATAAGTCTGTGATAACATCTCGTCAAGATTGGACCTGGCTTTGTTGACTTGATTTTATCTGTATTCACTCCCCACGGCGGCTGACATGTTCGCATGACTTGAAACGAAGGCATTCCGACCCAAAGACGACCAGATGTAGGCCAACAGCAAATGTTTTTCCCTTTGCCTTCGAACAAGCCAATGATTGCCGGTGCTTTGGGAGCTAAGTATAGTGATTAAAGCTCTTTGTAATAATATGATACAGTCTGATGAAACTAAACTACACATCTCAGAAGTTTACACTGCACCAAGAGGGACCCAAGAATCCGTTCAGGGAACTGAAGCCACTCCGGCCACAAAATGCCGGCGTCTGCTTCCTGCACACCGAGTTGAGGTCAGGTCTCTTCGTGGCTAGTTTAGAGGTGGAAATTATTGCAACGGTGCAGCCTCACAAAGATGCAATTGATTCAAATGGGGAAACGGGGCTAAGAGCAAGTGCAAGTGTGTGTGTTCTTCTCGAAGAGCATGTCAGCCCCTGATGTCAGACTGCACATGCACATGGTCCTAACAGAAGACCTGCAAACATGTGAGCGCATGTGTCAACTTGATTTATTCTGCCTGTGCTGACTACGAGACAGAAACACGGTCGGTCTAATCCCAAGAAAAATAAGAGTGACCCTACTAATTGGAACTGTTGCTCTTTAGCATCAGTGCTAATCCCATGAAGCAGTCTGTGAGCGTTGTGTTAACTGAGTCTCTCGTTCGTAGCCGCCTAATTCCAGACTGTGCTGGGACTGGTGCTGAGCTCACGGTGCCGACAGCCTTCGTGCCGTCTGCACCAGCAGCTCCTTCTGATTTGCAACATATTCAAGATCAAGTAGACATTTGACAAGGATCAGAGGGATGATAACATAGCAATTGTGTGTTTAAAATAAATAAATAAATAAATAAATAAATAAATAACTGTCAATGGTTTTGACCAAGACTGGCATTGAGCTAGTTTCAGTGTTGGGTTTTTAATTCAATACTGGAATTAAAAGTACAATATTTAAAAGCAGTACCAGAGTTCAATAGATTTAATAGTAAAGCAAATAAATAAAAAATAACTAACCACATTTACGAAAAGAGTGTATAGAGCAAGAACTAAAAATACACAGAAAAAAAAATGTTGCGCTGAATTTACTCAATTTTATTTCATCAAGTGGTAAAATGAAATCAAATAATCTGAATCCGGATAGATTTTTTTAATGTCAATTAAACACCTCCTTAAAAACGTTTTGATTTTGTGTAGTAGCCACTTGATGAAGTAACTGAGTAAATTCAACCGACATTTTTTTTTTCAGTGTACTTTGAAGAATTGTTTCATGGGTATGGGAAAAGAGCATCATTTTTAAAAAACTTTTACACTTTACTCTGATGTTTCCAGTATGTATTGATTCAGATTATTCACTCTGATAATAAAGAATAACCTCAAATTGGGGGACAGTATTATAAAGAAATTGTGTTTTAAGTGTGATTTGATGGTGGACTGTTTGTATTATACACAGGTTCGTGGATTCACAAGATTTGACGGTACATGGCATTTTGTGAATTTTTTGGTTCATTACAACTAACTTTATAAAGTGTTTTTTTTTTTAAATTCTGCACAAAACAAAAAAATAGTTTATAGTGCACGTAGAGCGTTATACAGTATGGATATCATTTAAATCAGTAATTCACAAAGTGTGGTACATGCACCACTACTGGTACGCGGGCACCCTCTAGTGGTACGAGAAAGAATCGTTGCCCAAGTTAAGCTCACATGTAAGGAAAACTTATATGTGCAATACATTTTTCAATATCTAAGCGCAGTTTTATTTTTCTAACCGCATAATGTTGAAGTGCCTTCCAATAGTTTCAGAAATACTTTTTGAGCATCAAATCAGTGTCTCGTTTTTGATGAACACTTACTACAATGCTGTATTTTAATGCCGGTCAATATGGGGGTACTAGGAGAGTTCAGTATTTTTGGGGGGTGGTATTGGTGTAAAAAGTTTGAGAACCACTGCTTTCAATTAGACCACTTACTTGCTTACAATAAGACCACAAGATTTTCAACCGACGTACGTAAAGTACTCGAACGGTTTATATCATTGGTGAAACCGTGTTAACACCTTGAGCATGTTAACGTTCAGATTTGAGTACTGAGCATTGAGAAACTTTGTGGCACACTAAATTCTATTACAAGGAATGTTTTGTTCATTTAGCCGGCCATTAATTGGCTTGGCTTCTCACACCAATCTCTAGATTTCTGTTCACCACAAGCACCTTCGCAAGAATGTGGAGGTCCGAAATAACGGCTCCTTTCTTCCAATTTAAATGTGGAAGAAAAAAAAAATGTATGACGTGGACCAGGATCTGGCCCTCGCAGACCATTCCCAGCAATATAAATAGCAGCCAAATTATACTGTTTTGCAGCAAAGAAATAACAGCCGCGGCCTTGGTTTGGTCAGAAGAATGAAGCCAACGGGATGCAGCCACGACGACACATTTAAACAGCATCGCACAATGGCGCATAGAGAAGGGCTGCAACACAACACCAGCAGACACCTAGAATTTCTGCAACGTGTGCAGCACAAAATTATGGGAGATATCACAAATATATTGTCAATCTAAAAATATGCACCCTAATCAGAGGGTTTTCGATGTGGTCAAACCGATGATTTGTCTACAGTTTGTCTGGACGTGGCGCGAGATGAGGCCTTACAGAGGAAAGCACTAGAAAGGGGAATGAAGGAATGAAAGGAATAAAAGCAAGCAAGCACTTGTTAAAAACAAAAAACAAAAAAACATGGCTACCATTAACTCACCTACATTCCAGCCACTCTGGCTGTGATCATTTATTCGTTATAAATTCCTATCGTCTCTACATCCGATTTAATTCTGAAGAAAGGAGCCAACCAGATTGAATGAAGATAATACACATTAAAAAAAAATAAAATGGAAACCAATGAGACAATTAGGCACCGCTGAGTCAATTCTGAGGTCTGACAGGGAAATTAGTGAGCGAGAAAAAGAGGAATTGGCTGATGAAACACTGGACTACTGTCAAGTAAACCACCCTTAACTCCGTCCAAAATGAAACCAGTAAATTGACCACACATGACCACGCCTCAATTATTCTCTTTTGGAACTCGCGTGTGTCTGTGGTGCTCAAACTGCCACATACTTCGAGCTCAACTAAGTGCAGGAAGAATCCCACGTTCCCAATTTCCCTGAAAGCCAAAGACAGATTTCTCCACTCGTACTGTATCTTCCTGCACAAACTCATTTGGTCACCCACATTCACTCACTGAATTCATGTCATGAATTTAGGGATTTTCCAAAGAGAATTGTCTTGATTGAGTTTCGCATAGTTGTGCACTTAGGCGTCGATGCGTAGTTTTCTTTCAAGGTTCGCACACCCAGCATCTGAGAAAAGCTTCACATTTTCAACGTGGACAATCCATCACGTGTTGGCTACCTGTCAGAGCTTCCATCCATCACCAGTATCTGATATTGCTGCCAGATTTTGCTTAGTGTGCCTGCGTGGCAAGAATAATCACCCTGGCACACGCTGCAGCCCACCATGTTGAGTCTTAAGTGAGTCAGGACAATCATGCGAATGCCTGTCATTTAGCTCCCACTGTCACACTTTGAAATCAAACTACTCATTACTTGTGATTTAGACTGAAACCTCACAAAATGTTTTTTTTTTCAAATGTCTTCTACAGTGGGGAAAAATGGTGTGTTGAATTTACTCTGTTTTATTTCATCAAGTGGCTGCACAACATCAAGTTATCTGAATTCAGTTACATTTTTTGAACCCTTTCAGTTACAACAGTGGACAGCTTATGTTATCAGGTTGCAGGGTGCATGAAAGGGTTGAATAGATGTACTTGGAAAAAAAAAATCCCTGGATCCAGATGATTTTATTTCATGCACCCACTTGATGAAAAAACAAAAAATTGAGGACATTCAACAACAACAACAACAAAATGTCACTGCAGGAGAAGAGCTTTTCTCCCTATAAGATGCTCAAATCTGCTTATATAATGTAGCCCCATTCACCCTCTCACACCAGATACATAATATGCTGTCTTTGCTGCAAAGTATTATCCGCAGCTCATATACCACAAGCAGCTGAGGTTTTAGAAAGGTTGCCATTTTTCCCATTTTCTATGGCTCGGTTGCCAAACGTGCAGAAGATGCGCAGTCAAGACAGGAACAAGAGTTCAGCAAAAGCTGCCACGTCGCTGTTGTCCAAAGGATGAAAAGTCGAGAAGCCGGTGAGATACTAGGAAGGAGTGTTTTTGTTTGGGTGGACTTCGGTAGGTTGGCCTGTCAGTTGGTTAATGTTAACATTATTAGGTAGGTTGATAATATCACCATACCATACCAGCGAGTTGATCCAAAAGGAGGGCAGCGTTCAGAAGGCAATTTAGTGAAATCTGCCTGGCCAAAGCTGACTGCTGATCAACACACGGGCAGATAAAATGACCGCCAAGTGCCCATTGCAGCTTGAACTTTTTATTGTTATGTGGAGGGAAAATGTATTCATGGCCCGGGTTGGACCAAGGGCTTTTATGATGTTTACAGAAAGTGTTTTGTAACAAGTCTGTGTTATTCTGAGCAGAAATTCAATATAAAATGCAATCCAATAAAGCTAGAACAACACAAACCCAAAATTCACAAGCCTGCGGGCCAAAGTCACCACCACTCGCACGAACATTGACACGGTGTTTTAGTCCGGGGGAAAAAAAAATTAAGCCCTCCTTGAAACGGCTTGTTTTAGCTGATCTCTCAATTTTGTCCAAAACACACAAACAGTTTGGCTGGAAAGTGCTGCTTTTGCTTCTTGCTGCCTTTTGTTCACATGCACATCTGCATGGGAGAGAATTTATTTCAGCTCATGCTGCTAGTTATCATCAAATATGTGCATAGCCATGTGTTGCCACTGTCTACTTTGCTGCTGCTTGAATCTCTCCAATGTGTCAAGACCGATTCGGTTCTGTTCTGTTCTCTCGCAATTCTCTTCTATTCACATGACCCCTGTTCACACACCTCCTTACACAGGCTGAGCTAGGCGGGGTCCTGCAGCAGGCTCCGGGTGGAGTCAAGTGCCCCAGCGGCTGTAATTTGGTGGCTGCTGCCCCTAAAAAAAGGTCGCCTTTGGCAGCTCCTCTGAGGCCACCAAGCTTGGATGTGGTGGCAAGCTGCAGGGAGAAAAGATGCTTACAAAAGAACCACGACAGCCTGGGGGATGATTCCCAATTGAAAGTACCGGTACTCAGCAGTGATTTGTCGTATCATCGCCGAGGACACATGAGTTTGAGTTGGATGCTGAGAGAGAGACAGGTGAATGGTGACACATGTTGGAGTGTGTTGGTGAAGCCACAGACTGTCTAATAAGTGGGGAAAGTCAAGAGACAGGAAACAGACACGTTTCATTTCCCGTGTCTGACCAGTGCCACCACACTGTTTGCTCTGTCTTTGCGAAGTTAAGGTGACTCAATGGCATGACTGGCTCATACGGTGGGCATGAAGTCATGGCCATAAGGCGGAATGGGGCCACCGGGGAAGACTGTGTTTCTTTTTGATTCTTCCCACGCAACATCAATTGATGTATATGTAGAGTGTGATGACACAAAAAAGGCTAAGGCAAGTTTCAGGAACACAGATGGGAACGTGTGACTTCCAAATATCATTTCCTTTCATCCTCCCTTGTCGAACAGATTGCGCCATCTAGTGTAAATGTGCAATAGAGGTTGGAGGCCGATGTGACTGATTCAATCTCGGACACCCGCCAAGTATTTTAGCTGATGCAAATGATTGCAGCGCAATCATTCGGAGGGAGGGTACGACAAAAATAAATAAATAAATAAACATTTAAAAAAAAAAAAAATCAGAAAAATCAGAAAAACAAAGACAGAGGTATTATTGCACAGCATACGGTGAAACAAGAACGGTGAATATAATTTTTGCATTCATGTAAAAAAAAATGCACTTTGTTGCATTGTTGGAATTGCACCATGCAGATCACTTTAAACTTGAAACAGCTTTGCAATAAGAACAAGAAACAAATAGTTTGACTTTAATGTTACCTATTCCAAGTTTCTGTGCAGGCTTGATAGTGGTATACTAAATACGAATGTTACAGTTAAAAGATTATGTAACATCTATTAAAAAAAAAAAAAAAAAAAAAAATCATCGCCTACCTTTTGAATAGAACTTTGAAAATAATTCCAAATTCCCAGAGTAGGTGGAACAGTGTTGCCGCCCTCTGTGCGTCAGATTATCCTGCAGATGATTGATTTTATATGTTGATCACATTCAGGGATTATTACAGTATTTCTTTGGGGTCCGCTGACATCAAGCCTCTGCTCCTCCACCACCGTGTGCCACTGTGAGCCGAATCAGAGCTTCCAGCCCATAAAGTCAACGGGCCAGCCTCCTTTCTCCTCTTTGGGGAGCAAGGACGGGGAGGAGGGGAAGTGCAGGACCGCTTTTTGCTTTGATTCCTGTTGAAGAAAAAACAAGGTTTTATAGTTAGTCGTCATTCCAACAAGAAAAGATAACATCGAAGACTGGGCGTCTTCACAAGAACAGATTATGACACCCGAGTCAAGTCAAGTCAACTCACTTCACAATAAGTAGAGGTTTGTCAGAGTCTTAATAATTGAAAATGAAAAAGGAGCATTCAAGATGTTTATTGCCACTCTCATTAAAAGTTTAATCAAAAGCTAAGCATAAAACAAGGAGAATTGCATGGTGTGTTTTTCAAACAGCTACATAACTTTGCTTTTGATGATCTTAATGCTCACAAACAACGCAAAACACCACACAAGGGATAACTAACAACATCAGTGTCACAGCATTATTATATTTTAAGCTATTTAAATATTTGAACACAAACAATAGTGCAACCTATGCACGCATATAACAATACTCACAGGCATAGGTTCTTTATCCTCTGTGAAGAAAGATTAATCTTACTGTGGTTTACTGAGGAGTTTTGACCGGATCCATGCATATCCAAATGTCTGCAATCTACTCCCGTACACCACATGGACGTACACTAGAAAGAGCAGTGCAATGGCCATTCAAGTGAAGCAAAAACTGTTTGTTTTTCTGCAACATATCAAATTATGTTATGACTGTATGTTGTATGGGGCGGCCCGGTGGGCCAATGGTTAGCGTGTCGACCTCACATGCAGAGGTACCGGGTTCAATTCCAGCTCCGGCCTCCCTGTGTGGAGTTTGCATGTTCTCCACGGGCCTGCGTGGGTTTTCTCCGGGTACTCCGGTTTCCTCCCACATTCCAAAAACATGCATGGCAGGCTGACTGAACACTCCAAATTGTCCCTAGGTGTGAGTGTGAGCGCGGATGGTTGTTCGTGTCTGTGTGCCCTGCGATTGGCTGGCAACCGGTTCAGAGTGTCCCCCGCCTACTGCCCGAAGACAGCTGGGATAGGCTTCAGCACCCCCCGCGACCCTTGTGAGGATAAGCGGATCGGAAAATGAATGAATAAATGTATGTTGTATGGTACATGCATTGAACTTAAATTCAAATACAACTGAACTGTACTTGACAAATGTGCTGTATTCAATTTAAAGTTAGAGCCAAATGTAACATTCTGCACAGTTTAAACATTTAATTCAGTCAGTCGTTCATGTGCCACGAGAGGAAGTCTGTGAGAAAATGTATGAAGAAGAATGAAAGAAAAAAAATCCCATGTAATATATGAAATCTCATTCAACTGATGTGGAATTTCTTGTCGTTATGTAGAATTGTACAACATACAATATATATTGTGCTTAATGAGTAAGTAACTGTGGCTGCTAGGCGTATTTCCACTAAGTGCTTTATTTGTTACTCCATGGAAACTGGTCTTATGCCAAACAAAATCCAAGTTCAAGATTAAAAAAAAACCCAAACCTTGCATTACTTTTTGTAAATTTCCCATGCCTACATGGTTGTTTAACAGTACTGTAATCCATGGCCATGACATGGTGTCACACCCGGGTTCCATTAAGAAGAGGAATCAAATATATTTGTGGGATAGTGATGATTAACACGTCTTGCTGCTTTCTATTTGATTTTGTTCCGGCAGGATGAACATGCTCATCCACTGGCTCCCTGATTTCCTCTGTGGGTTGCCAGAACCCGAATGATGCAGTTTGGCGAGCCGCACCATCTGGGAGCTTTCCCCACCTTGTCCAACAAGCAGCCACAAAGCATTTTTCAACTAGCTGCACACTGAATCTGAGCGCCACCGTTCTGGCCTTTGGAAAGTCACATCATAATATTTAGCCTCACTATCTAATTCAACTGCGACTTCCTGTCCCGCCCTACAGTGGACAATCCACTGTTGCAGGCTAACCCGGTGCGACACTGGGAGATTGGCAGTGAGACATTTTGGATGAAATCCTTCGCAGACAGCATTCTTCCTTGAGCCCTCATCGTGTATATTTAAGCACATGTTGTGTTTCTTTGTTTTTGGTTTTTTTTATTAAATCCCTTTCTGTTGCTCCCTTCCTGTGGTTTTGTTGATTATGATGTTAGTGTGGAGCTAGAGGGCTTGGCATCCAAATGAAATACTATTTTTCTCTCTCTCTCTCTCCCCTGGGCCTCCATGTATTAATGCACCCGCTTATTTGCCCTTTGGATGATCATCAAATTACTCATTCCCTGGCCAAATTATTCGTAATGTCAATATTTATTTCTTGAATGTGTTCCTTCTGACAGGAAATGACACAAGAAATTGTTTACATATTCATTTTAAGGAAACAAACTATCTTGCCTTCCATGCCCTGCCCTGGTAGTTTACAGCACCAAAAAAAAAGAAAAAAAATCTAGAATATTGAATATGCCCACTATCGTGGTTAACTCACCCAATTCTTCGCAGGCATCTTGGGTTCAGTTCCCACTCAATGATAGTTTGAGCGTGTTTAACTTGTGTGTCTTGCTGTGACTGACTTGTCAGGCCAGGGTGTAGTCCGGCTTTTTTCCCAGAAATTCCAGCTTCCCGGCAACCCTGGAAATGATCAGCTGTGTGGCAAATTGATGTTTGGATCAATCTGCCTCAACTTAAAAGCGATGTAGATGGATTTTTTTTTTTTTGTCCAAAAATACAAGCACATGTTTAAGGAATATCAACGAACACAACTAAATGTATTTTCTCTCTTAAGTCCTTTCCCGCTGAAGATTTTCAGCTGCCTTTCTCTGTTTGAGCTTTCTTTCCTGACAAATACATGATATGTACATGCGATCTCAAACGAAAAGCACCATGCCCCTCTTATTGAAGTCTGTCATGTTTCTGTCTGTTTCGTTTTGGTAAAGAAGGCGGACCAGAGAGCGCGTCCTCATGTTCCGCACCTGTTCTTCCTCAGCCTCATCATCACCCACCTTGAGAAGACATCCTCGATGATAATTCGTTGTCGGATTATTCCCGCCTTGCTCACTACTCTTGTACCTTGTGCCTGAATTTTCTAGACGTTCCTTGTTTTCGCTTCATAGTCCATTTTGTCTCGTTCTTAGTACCACCTTGGTTTATAGGAAGTATTTATTATATTGTGCTATTCTCTGTTTGGTCATTTTTTTTCTCATGCTAGATTTCTCTTGTCCTTGTGAGACAAGCAATTTATTTTCTCATTTTCTCCATTGACGTTTGCAAGCGCTTTTTGTTTCTTGCAATTTCTTCTGGTTCATTGTTACCAGCGTGATTGTTTGTACTTTGTCGGTTTCGCTTTCTACTTGAATACATTTTTGTCAATTGACCTATCTTGGTCGACATTTGGTGGATCCTCTCCGTTTCCAGAATTCGGATCACAGTCGAGTTCGCGATGATAAATTAAACATTTATTGGATAGGATGTGGGCACTGTCACACACATTATGATGGATGGCGAAGCAGTCAGATTTGAAAAATACCTCAATGTGACGAGATTTAAGATCAAAGTGGAATGACGGGGGAGATGGGAATGAGTGCTAATACACTGGGGTCACTTTACTTTTTTTTGTGAAGCGGCTTGCCTCAGCTTGAAAGTGCAGCGACAGCCGCATAAATGAGAATGAGCAGTTTCATTGGCAGTAATCTGGTGTTGGCAAAAATGACTGTACAATTATAGAGAATGGAAGCTGCGCCACATGCGCAAGGCCGAAAACGAGAAATGTAACATGTGATTTAGTCAGAAAGTGTATAAATGTAAACGGTACAAAAGCAGCCCTGTAGCATTTTTAGAGCGGCTTTATTCAAACTCAATTCTGCTCTGCTTGTTGACTTAAGGATCTGCAGGATACCGTCTCTAATTTACAAACATGAATGACTTGCATTTACAGTACAAGGTGCCGAAAACCAGCATTTTGTCGTCGCAATCCTATTTCTGACTTGCTCTTCGAGGACACGTGCAGAGGTCATGGCGGCATGTCAAAACCGATTTGCAGAGCAGCTTCTGCCCACATGAAGTATTTGTTTGATTGAGCGTGTATCGGCTAATTACAATGTCAACCGATGCGTGTGATTTTTCTTGGACTGAGTACCAGTAATGAGGAAATACATCGGAGATTCCAGGTGAATTCTTGCTGAATTCCAGATTGTTCCTATGGTAGCTCTCCCTTATATGAGCATTACGAAATGTCAACATTGAGGTATGAGTCAGGGGGCTCAAATGCAAAAAAACAAAAAACAAAAAACATGCATACAACAGTGGCAATGAACCAATAAAAGTGAACAGAAACAGAAACTCTAAGTACAAGAGGACTAATCACAGGGGAGAAACAGGTGACAGACATAAGGAGACAAGCCACGCACTGACACAGAGCGACATGATCACCGAACCAAAACAGAAACACATCCAACACGAATCCACAAAGCCAAATGGCAAAAAGCCGAAAAATGAGAGGCCAAGCTTACACTCACGTCACACAGATTAGGCTCTTCCGAAAGGGCATTTGTATGGTTATCATGAGACAAAAAGTAGTAAAAGGAGGGACTAGAGCAATGATGTTGCTGACAAATCGAACACACTGTAGAGCATTTTCTCATTCAAGAAAAATGTTGTCCAACAAGACAAATACACACACATTGACATTCCATTCTTTAAAAAAAAAAGGTTGAACATGAAAGTTTATCAAAGGTAGTGAAAGCAAAATACAAACTCAATGGCCGACGTTGGCGTTCCTGTAAGGTGTTGTAAAGGACAGAAGGAAATAGATGAGCTCTATGATGTTCTTTTGTGTTTCAGTACGTGTCACCGAGAAGCATGAACATGAATTTCGCAGGACTTCATCCACATATGCTGGAATTACGAACTACCTTTGCATAACAGCAATGTTGTTTGGATCTGCCCAAGAGGAAAATAACTTGCATTTCGTGATGGAAAGCGGAGACAGTGCAACGGCGACTTACAATGTGTGCAAATTGAGCATTTTATGTGGCGGAAAGGATAGAGCTACGTTAACAAATTTATTATGCTCCCTGAAAAACTGATGGGCTCCCCCACCCCCCAAAAACGATTTAAATGTTGTTGTTTTTTTAAGTATTTGAATGTGCTCTTTTTTTCTCTTTAATATATTGTCACGGCACTGACTCTTCGAAATCAGATTACCTGCTATGAAGATATGTCAACGTTACCATGGCAACACATCCAGAGCATTTTTGTTTTTGGAGTGTTGAGTTGTCTTGAGTTGATTCCACCCTCGCTACTGGAAATTGTTCCGTCCTAGCATGCCTCACTTTTTTTCTGGAGGTTTCATACTACATTCTAGTGAGATCATGTTGACGTCGAAATTTCTGGTAAGGCCCCTCGTTGAGGATAGATAACAAGTCCTTCAGCATCTGTGAGACAAGCAAAGGCATTGGAGGGAATATTGTCAGCCACCAACAGGTTATTTTCTAAGTGGACTGACGCCAAGATGGAGCCAGAATTTTGGGGATGACACACTGCCCAGCGCCTGAGCTGCCTGAAAACACAACATGCAACAAATACAAACCAGGGTTAGAATAGTTTTGGATTTCTCTTGATGGATTCTATTTCATTTTGACTTTTGTTTTTCAGTTACCGGTACTTTTTTTTTTTCTTCTAGCAGGTTTGTATTATTTTTAATTTTTTTATTTTTTTCTAAATTTGTTCGCTTCAGTTTCATTTTAATTCGTTTTAGTGTTAGTTTTAGTTTTTTTAAATACTTTATACGGAGTATTTGTCGAGTGCAAGATATTTTTAAAAAGTCACTCGATAAACTACAATTCTCAAATGACTGTTTAACTTTGCTTCCTCTGTATGACCGTACAGCAATACCGACATAAATTTAATCTGAACATGTAAACTCATGTACTATATGATATTACATGACCACAACAAAAAGGAAGGACATTTTTGTTAGTTCCCAAAATGTAAGATGTAGTGTGCTTTAGTTTGCTTTTTTTTTAAGCATTTTCATTTTTCTATTTTAATTTGTTCACAAAAATTTTTTTCTATTTTCCTTTTAGTTATTTCATTAGATTCCGTGAAAACAAATAATCATAAATTTATAAATCACATATACCGGCTTTTAATTGGCCCAACAGAATTAACTTTTGGAATCACTTCGTCAGAGACGAAAACGATCATAACTTGTCTCACTGTGTGGAGTTGCAATAAAAATTGAATGCAACTGCAATCCCACCTGATATAGTTGTTGTCCAGCCTCAGTACTTGCAGGTTCTTAAACTGTCGAACCCAGAGTGGGACCTCCGCCAGGTGGTTGTCATCCAACAGGAGCTCAACGAGCGAGCGGAACGTTCCGACAAAAGAGCCCTGCTCAATCCCCTCATCCCTCAAGGCATTGTGAGATAGACCAAGTAACTGCAGGCCAGGCCGCAGGTGGCGAAACATGTGAGCGGGGATGCGGCTGATGTTGTTGTGTTGGAGCTTCAGTTTGAGCAGATGGCGAGGAAGATTCATGGCCATCGATGTCAGCTGGTTGTAAGAGAGGTCCAACAATTCAAGTCTCCTGTGAAAAAAAAAACCAAACAAACAAGCGTTTTGCTGCCTAATTGTAGAATATATATATTTATTGGCCAGTCCATTTGGAAGTAGCAGTTCAGAGTCGTCGAGTGCACCTGATTTGCATTCACAATCCTGGCCAGGAAGCTCAGCGGTGATGCAAACACATGAGATTACTGAGCAGACACCCTCTCCTCCAACAACAACAATTCTCCAGTTGGAAGCTGCTGCGCACACGCACACACACACACACACACACACACACACACACACACACACAGGTACATGCACGCACGCACCCACGCACAGACCCACTCACACACACCCTCTACACTGGATGCAGAGGGCAACTGGCCCATTTTCATGCCCCTGAAAAATAATTTGTTTGTGTATGGGGGCGGTGTACTGCGCCTCAAGTGGGTACACGAGGGCCATCGCCCAGTTGGCCCCACCCTCCACACATCCCTGGTTTGAAAACCTAACCAGTGTTTGAAACCCTAACCCGAGTTTAAAACCTTACTTTGAAACCCTAATCCAATTTCATAAGCCTAATTTCAAACCCTAACCAGTCTGAAACCCTCATTTAAAACCCTTTGATGCCCTAGCACTTTTTAAAACACTACTTAGAAATCTTATACCTAGTGTAAAACCCTCATTTGAAATTCTAACCCAAATTTAAAAGCCTAATTTAAAACCCCAAACCAACGTTGAAAACCTAACACTAGTAGTGTGAAAATTCAAAATCCTATCCAAAAGCTACTTTGAAACCCTAACCCTAGTTTAAACCCCTACTTTGAAACCCCAACCTAAATTCAAAACCTTAACTTGAAACTGTAATCTCAGTTTAAAACCCTAATCTGAGTTTAAACCCCTACTTTGAAACCTTAAACCTACTTTGGAACCCTAACCCTACTTTGAAACCATAACTCTTGTTAAAACCCTACTTTGAAACAACCAACCCTAGTTTTAAAAACCTTAACCCTAATTTAACCCCCCCCTCCCATTCCCTGATCACTCGTGTGCACTATCCAAGGCTGTGCTGCCAACTGGGACGACTTTAAAAAATATGAAAACAATTCAGAGGGTTTACTGCCCAATGTTCACATATTTGTGACAGCAATGGAAACCATTAGACCAGTTGTCACCCCTGTTTGTGAGGTGTTCTGCAGATCAATTGTCTGCCAACAAATTGTCCCGTCGCCAGGGTCTCCAAGACACTCCTGCTGTATTGCATTCCAAGGGGTTGCATTCCAGCGCCACCGGAGGCTTTAAGGTGTCAGCTGGATTTTTCATGATTTTCAAGCCTTGTTTGATTGACATGGTGATATTTTTTAAACATTCAAGTCCAGCAGGGTTGTAAACCATTCATTGCTGTATTACCAAGTAGGAAAACCTTTTTTTTTTTTTTTTTGCACGCTGTCGAATGAAAAAAATGTAGGAAATCATATATTAAGGCTGCACCCTGCATCGTTGTTAATGGATGTCATGTATCTGTCTCTTTTAGGAGCTTTTCACAAGATATTTTATCGTGCTTGAGTGTCTTTTTTTTTCTTTGCAGTTTTGCTTGCTCCTCTGCTCTCCCCATAGGTTCAGAAGTATCCCAAGGAGCAATGGAAAAAACCCACAGGAATGAACTATATTTAGATACAACTCACACACACACACACACACACACACACACACACACACACACACACACACACACACACACACACACACACACACACTCGCAAACACATTGAGACGTGCAATTGCGCTCACTCACACGGCAGCTCTTCTCCACACAGAGAGTCAGCGTTCAGCCTGAGAATCAAGTGTGTGTGTCCATGTGTGTGTCCGTCCGTGCATGAGGGAACATAACATAATTCATGATGACTGACAATGATGTGGGAATTCAAAACGAGCTACTGTAAGCTCTAATCTTTATTGATGCTATTTTGGTGTGTGTGTGGGGGGGGGGGTGTGAATAAGCATGCATCATAGCCTGATGTACAGTATTGGCACTGTCAAGATTAGCAAATGATGTGTCAGTGAGTGTTTCTTTGGAAGGGAATTTATCTGCCACAAGTTTAAACTGCCAACTTTCCCATGAATCAAAATGCAGGCAGTCTAATAATCAAATTTTCAAGAGACACCGGCCTTACCCCCTTGTGCCTGACACACTGAACTACAGGATCCATCCATCCATCCATTTTCCGAACCACTTTATCCTCACGAGGGTCGCGGGCGTGCTGGAGCCAGTCCCAGCCGTCTTTGGTCAGTCGCGGGGTACACCATGAACTAGTTGCCAGCCAATCGCAGGGCACACATCGACACACAACTATTTGCGCTCACTAACACACCCATGGAAAATTTTGAGAGATCAATTGACCTACTGTGCATGTGTTTGGATTGTGGGAGTAAACTGGAGTACCCAAAAAAAAAAAAAAACACGCAGATATGGGGAGAACAGAGCCGAAATCAAACCCTGCACTTCTGCACTATGAGGTGGACAAACAAGCAGTCAAACACCGTTTCGTCGTTTAGTGGCAGGAGATTTTCTACTCTTGCTGGCTTACCATCATTCATTAAAGATTGGCAAACATTGTTTATGGGTGGATGTGATTGAATGGACCTACCGCAGGCGGGTCCAGACGTGTTGGGCAAGGCCGACCTCATGCAGAAGGTTATGACTCAGGTCTAGCATTTTCAAATGACTGCAGCCCCTCAGTGCCTCTTCTGTCACCTCCTCGATCATATTTTCAGCCATTTCTAAAGTCTATTTCAATGAAAGAATGAAAGAAAAAGGTGCACGGGAATTATGAAGAATTTAGCACATTCCTTTATCAATGTGTGGTTGTCAAGGTTACCATAGTCAACAAAAACAAACGAAATAACTAATACTATCCGTAAACGACATCAAATAAAAAAACAAGTATGTTTTTTAATGATAATTAACTGAAACTAGATTTTAAAATAACAAGTCATTAACGCTAACTATACTTGTCGCAAAAATGTGCCTTGTTTTTGTCTTTGTCAGTTAATTTCATTCATGACCTTTCAAGGTTTTCATTTATCCATCTATCTATATCAAGCTAGCGAGCAAGCTAGCAAACTAGTTGTTCGTCTGTTTGTCTGTCTGTCTTTACATCTGTCTAAACGTCTATTCATCATCAGTTTTTTTTTCAATCTCGCATAAAGAAATGCCCTGTAAAAAAAAAAAAAAAAAAAAAAACTAAAGCTAATACTAAAACTATTAAACAATAAACTAAAATGGAGCATTTTCAAACCAGAAAAAAATGGAATGAAAACAACCATAACCTGCTCAAAAAAAACTGTAATGAAAAAAAAATCCTAATCGATTGTAACTGTGGTGGTAGCAGTTGAACTTTTTGAAAGAAGAAGGGTTGCACCTGCAGAGAGCGGGGAAGACCTGGGGGGAGAGAGCGGAATCGGTTGTTCTCCAGGTTGAGGTGATGAAGCCCCTTGAGTGGTTTGAATGCTTGCGGTGACACAGCACTCTCATGCAGGCTGTTCCCTTCCATCTCCAGGTTCAACAGGTTTGTCAACCCTAAAGGCAGCAAACCTCTCATCACTACGCACTTTGCATATGGAGACTTGTTTTGCGGTTTAATTGACCGAGACATAATGTCTACCTGCGAAACAATGACGGGAGAGGGTGTGGAGCTTGTTGTTGTTGACGCTCAGTTCTTCAAGAGCCGGCGGCAGTGTGGGGATCACTGTGAGCTGGTTGCCATCCAAGTTCAGTTTCTTCAGAGAGGTCAAGTTCTAAAGAGCACACATCAAAAAGAGCAGTGGAACGGCCAACGCACAAAATAGATGCTTGTCTTCAATTCCCATCATTTTCCTCCTGAAAATGGAATTACAGAGTTCAAAGAAGTGAACCAAGTGAAAGAATGCCAACGTGCAAGTCCTCCATCCCATCTATCATGTCGTATTTTTGGTACAGCCTATCAATGTGGCATTGAGCGAAAGCCGCCGTGGTTGATGCATGTCATCTAAAAGCTGTGGACTGGATCCATCGCAGTGTCCCTCGAGCCAGTCCATCAGTCCTCTGTCATTACTGGGATGTGAGCGGGCGAGCAGGGGGTGGAAAAAAAAAATCCCCCCAAAATAGTTTTCCTTTCCTCCACGTCATTGGCTGCAGCTGTTTTCCAACAAGTCTGCGTAGCCAATGGCGTCAGATGGTGATGTGCGACGATTGGTCGGAACACAGTCGGCCGCTTGAGTGTGGTCAGGATCTTTGTGTGCCTTTGGCCTGTGGTCAATTTGAGGTTAGGCCGAAGATTATTCTTAGAAAGGATGAGTTAATGTGATTCCCAGCACTTACTCTCAAATTATTGTAATCATACACGATTGAGACTGCCTTTGATTTTAATGAGATGCAAGGACCTTTTTGAATTTGACTTAAATGAAATACAACCATTCAAAACTTACTTATATGTAAAAAGACGCCCATCCTACGTTGAAATAACTTAATCAGCATGCCTCTGTTATCACAAAGCTGCCTATGGTGTGGTTTTAAATCTTCAATTTTTCCCTCCTTGGCTTTAAAAGGCACCAATTTTACTGGAACTGCTGGTGCCAGACATCATTACTTTGCATGATCTCCACTGTATGACGTTTCAGCCATAAGGTACGTGGACATTTTTTTTGGGTGCACTATTTTGAGCAACTGGAAAGTCGTGTAGGTGCAAGGCTACTCACAGACAGCTGGTTTTGGCTGAATGAATCATCATCCAGTTGGTTTTTGCTCAGGTCCAGGGATTCCAGATTTGGCACGCCGGAGAAAACGTCTGGAGGAATGACTCGGATGTTGTTCTCTTGGTGAGACAAACATGCAGGATAATGAGTTTATGTGATACAGAGGCAGTTGCATTATGCAGACGAAAGAATTGGGACACATGGCCATTACAGCTACACCTCTGGAAAATATAGCTCAACAACAAGATATTGTTCAGTGTGTCTGTCTGCCATTTTTCCGACATTCATCCAGAGGAACATTTTGTTACACAAGCACACGGAGAACCTACAGACTTCACACAGCTGAAACTTGAATCCTAAACCTCTGAACGGTGAAGCGGAAGTGCAAACCGCCTGTTCAACATGCTGCTAAATATGTCATTGTTAGCGTCAGTATTAAATGCAATTGAAGAAAAATCAACACAATGAAAGAGACTCCAATTTATACAGTATGTAGATGTGCTTCAATGCTTGTTCTGGGTACTCCATTTTCCTTCCTCCATTGACAGGTGAAGTGAAGGCTCTGGACCAGGGGTGCCCAACCTTTTATTTTTTATTTTTTTTGACTGAAGATCTACTTTCGATCAACCAACCTCCCGCGATCGTTCCGATACCGCGCACGCGCGCATATGCACGCACTTACACACGCATGCCCTGATGAGCAACAGTCGTAACGGCCCCTAAGATGAACGAAACAGAAAAATAAAGTACACACAAGATTTGATGAGTTTGTTAATCCGAAATCACTGCCTACCTTTGTGAGAGACCTGCCGCGGAAGCATGCGACGCACTTTTGCAGCCTGTTAACTACCGTAGCTCACGGATACCGTTTTAAAATGCTTCTCTCGACCTTCCAGATTGCCATTCTTTGCGAGTGCCAACGGCTAATTGTACACGAAAAAAAGCTATATCTCAACAGCTCTGATGAGAAGCTGCAATTGCAGACTGCTGAGCGCTAACAACTTCTGGTGATGCAGGTCACATGACACCGTAGGTGAAACGTGACTTGCTTTATTTATTTATTTTTAAATACTTTTGTCAAAGTGGGACTTATAGGATGATCAGGGTGCAGTCTGCATTAACACAAAAAATATAATAATAACATGCACAGAGACTGACAAATGTTTTGGGTTTTTTTTTTTCCTGTTCACCCCTCGTGATCGACTTGGGACCAGCCCGTGAGCTACCGGTCAATCCTGAGTGACGTAATGAGTAACACTACTCGAGACTTTCCATAGGTGTGATTGCTTGTTTCTCTTTATGTGCCCTTAGGATGTATATGTATACCACGCCTCTCACCCAAAGTCAAAGCGCCAGCTCACTTGCAACCATAAGCGCTCTTGAAAATGCACGGATGGATCTTTGAATGCAATTGAAATGCAGGTAAAAATACTTCTTTGCTTATCTGCTGGAACCTTTGTTTTAGCATTAAATCTGAGCGAAACTGTCCGATCATCACATTCTTGGTTTATATTTCCAAACATGACATTTGCCAGCATGTGCTATGGACTGTAGAGAAGCAGGTGGGGCCGTACTTCATTCATTAAACTTTTCCCCAAAAAATGAGAAACAATGAGGAAAGAAGCAGCACTGATGCGTCACACTGGATGGTCCAATGATACATTCAGAATTGAAAGCGACACACCTCCCACATCTAGCTTCGTGGCCTCCGGGTTGTGGATGATTGGCAGGTGAGTCATGCCAACATCTCTGCAGATGATTTCACTGCTGTCAGTCTGACACTGACCCACAGGAGGCTCTGGTGAGATGCTCTTTGTTTCAGTCTGATAGCCAGGAGCTTCAGTTGCCTCTTCTTCTTCCTCCTCCTCCTCCTCCTCCTCCTGCTCCTCCTCCTCCTGCTCCTCTTCCTCCTGCTCATCCTCCTCCTCTTCCTGAGACAAACAAGTCAGCAACGTGCATCACTGAATATCAAACACAATTAATTTAATAAGTTTGAACCTCTTCCTCATCTTCCTCGTCATCGTCATCATCATCATCATCATCATCGTCGTCGTCGTCATCGTCTTCGTCATCGTCATCGTCATCATCATCATCATCGTCGTCGTCGTCATCGTCATCGTCTTCGTCATCGTCATCGTCATCGTCATCATCATCATCATCGTCGTCGTCGTCGCCTTCATCATCGTCATGATCGTCGTCATCTTCCTCCTCCACCTCCTCTTCCTCCTGTGCTTTCTCTTGATCCATCAGCTGCCTCTTCTCAGCATGAAACTCCTTCAGTAGGGCCATTGAGGTGCTGCTCGGCCTCTCTCCTTTTTTGTTCATCCTCCATCCCGCCAGGGGTCGCCCTAATGCTGCCTAACAATATAGCAGTGTGTTTCTCAACCTTCACTTTAGAAATTGCACAACGCAGACCAACACAAAAAAATTACGTATTTGTCATTCCGAGGTTGAAGGAGATTTTTTTCCCCAAAAATGTAATTTCAAATAATAAATGCACAAAAACAGAAACAATCATGTTGTAATGTTGTAAAAGTCATTCCTCAATATAGCGTAATTTAAAATACCAAATTTCTCCTGAGCGCCTTACAAAATGACCCCTTGGACATGAATAATGTACATATCAAATTCAACAGACAAAATTCAACTTTTTTTTGGTTTGTTTTTGCCTCAGCATGGCAAACAAAATATCATATAAAATGTCATAATGACGATTGAGCCGGACGAATCATATGATATGATAGTTGATCACCTGTTTTTCTTGAAAACATTCCAGAAAATGATCAAAAGTAAAATTTTGAAAAACATGACTGGCATGATTGGCTTTCTAAATGCAGGTGTTGAAAGAGCATCCTCATTCGACTGTGTACGTCTCCCTAAAGAGGAGCCTACATTTCGATGGACACAGGCAGAAAAATAGGTATCATGTCTTACTATTCTATAGGCAAAGGAGTCCACTGTCGCTGCGTGTTTCCTCTGCCACCAAGCATCTCTCTTTAGTCTATCAGCCTTCTGGTTTTGGGGGTCCTGGTGCTGCTCTTCTGTCGGCATCAGAATGTGATTGTCTCCTCGTCCCCCACCTTTGAAAAAATTGAAATGTCTTTTGAAACATTCTCAACATTATATTATCCTATCCATTGGAATAGTACAAGAATAGAAAAGAACTTACCTGAAGGGAAAGACTTTCCAGAATCTGAGAATTTCCTCCAGGTATCAATCCCAGTTTCTGGGGTTGCTGTTTGGTCGACTTGAAGTGACTCGCATTCCAGCTTTACATTTTTGTCATGTGACATGCTTTGTCCAAATAAAAATGTGCCACTCAGCCAAATGAGCACTCCCCATGACTTTGGCATAATTGGTTGTTCCCTGAACAGTATTCCACTTCTTTCACTTGGAGCAGGACGTCAGCCGAAGGTCCAAAAATCAGCAGCCAAAGACTTCTGAAAATGCCAAGAGATTTTTTTTCCCACTAGAATGTAAGACGTTGAACTCTGCAGGTAAAAACTACGTCTTTCTGCTATGGCTCACTGCCGCAGTCTTGCCAAGTCAGTGACTGCAGCATGTAAAAGAGTACAAGATGCGATGGAGCAAGCCTATGTTGTAGGTGGGGTGGTGAAAAAAAAGAAAATCTCACATTGTTAATAGAGGCCCATGTTCGACCAAGCATGAGATACACAGACCCGCCTGACTCCTCCTTGTCTCCTCTCTCACTTCTTCCTTCCGACCTTCTGTCTGCCTAACACTTGCTAAAAACAGACGTGTGACGCCAAGGTAACCGTGGTATGCATATACAGTATTCATTCTAAGGGAATTATTTACCCATTACATCATTTTGTTTTACACCTGGAATAGGAGCGTTATGTTTTCCCTCCGAATATTGACACAGAAGGTGGGCAGCGTGCTTGTATTGGGTCTTTTCCCAGAGGAGATGGATGGATTTCTTTTTGGGGGTGTGGGTTCAGGCCAGAGTCAACCTTGTTTGGCTAAGCCCCACTAGCATCTATGTATGAAAACAAACACGACCATGCAGAAATGGATGAGACCGACCATCTTTGTGTTCCCAAGACATGTAATGCATGTGCACACACACAATTTGGCACAATGCTGCCTCAACTCGTCACACTGGGCAGGTGCCATCAGCTGGGTACTTTCATTGTGAGTTGACACCTGCCCACAACCACACAATGTTTTCGTTCAGAAACTCGACTTACTCTGACAAATCTGTCAAAATGTGTGACCATATAGCAAAGTCACACACAACAGATTGTTAACATTTATTACAAATATGCATTAACCTGAGGTCATGTGATGCAGACAAATGGCCAAATGCAGAACTGCCATAAAGGAGACAAAAAAGGCGACAATTCTAAGGGCCCAGAACTGAAAATAGTATTTTCATTTTGCGGCACTGGAAGCAGTTGGTTTTTTTCACCGCGCCCCAAATCCTTGGCTGTACCACTGGCCAAATGGCAAATTGAATGGTTGAGCACTACTGAACACTGAAACACTCGGGTCCTGGTGGGCCTTCCACATAGTTCCCTGAAAAAGTAATAAGAAGCCAGGACAAAAGTGGCCTTAATGACAAAGTATCCTTTTTGCACAGTGAGACATACAGGTAGATCTCACTGTCATTTGCATGGAAGGGAAATAACGTGTTTTTTAAGATGGAACCCAGTGGCAACCAATACAATGAAAACAGTAGGGGTTCCAAAATTGAAACATGTAGAATACCAAACGACAGTGGGGCAGAGCGGGACTCTGAGCAACCAAAGTTAACACAAAAAACGTTGTCAGCCACATAGGATCTAAACCGCTTTGGAGCACTACCGCTAATGCTCACCTGTTGCTGATAACGAGCCAACAGAATACTGTGGTCTACTGCATCGTAATGAATAAATGCAAACGTTGCCTCAAAAAAGAAATCGACTCCAAATGACTAAAAACCCATTTTGAACTCAAGTAAAAAAATAATAATAATAAATAAGTACATTAATTTTGAAAAAGCCACCAAAATCTCCATAAGTCTTTCATAATGTCTTCGATGATAGACATCTGGATGGTTGAGCAGAGTTCAATTTGAGACTAATTTAGAAGTTATCCATAATTCAGAGGTAAGTATCGAGCGATGGACGAATGAAGCTTCATAAAGCACGTAATCATTTTCAACTTCTCCACTTTTTTTTTTTTTTAAATAAAGATGCAGTGGAAATGTAATAAATTTCCCTTGCAGAAGCCTTAAAACAAGAGCACCATCTACTGGAGGAAGAAAAATCACAAGCGCTTCATGAGGCTTCTCTCTTATCACTAGATATCAATCATTAAAAGTGTGGTAAGCTATGAGCTGTGCAACTCAATTGAGGAACATAAATTATCTCCGTATCTTAAGTTAAATAGCATAATTGGACATGGTTTTTTTTCTGTCGATTCTCATTAATTCAGATCATGGTCATCCAGAAGAAAAAAAAAATAGTCAATTGGACTCTGTTAAATTGATATTTTTCTTGCTTTTCCAAAACCAACTTCGTCTTACGCAAATATGCTACACAGTTAAATTTGAAGTGAACTTCTTTCCCATTCATGAACAAGTTAATCGAGAATGCACACTTTCAAGTTGCAAAGCACCTGCCAAATACACTTAAACTCAGAAAAAATAAATAAATACCATAACGCAATACTGTGTTAAGCATGTTTAATTCAGCACACCAGACTACCAGTAACATTTTGTTGGGTTTTGGTATAGTAAAGAACCATACATCAAAATTGCCTTAAGTTCCGCACAGAAGATGCCAGCCAAGTGCGACAGGTAAAACACATGGAAGGTGCAGGAGAAACATGGGTTGGAATGCATCAGTCTCACCCTCCACTCAAATTTTAATCAACCTTGACATTTGGAAGCTTTCTAAAAATGAACTATTCATTCAAAAACAGTGTTAAGCAAAGCAATGTTTTGCATATACAGTAGTCGAATGTGAAGAGGTACAAATAAGTTCAACTGCAAACAGTAACGAGGTCACACAAGTAGACTGGCTCTGGAAACTATGAGAAAAGAGTTAACAGGCACCTACAAGACTGCTGGAACAAGTTGGGTAAAAAGCTGACTGAGCATGATCACAACGAGCTGAAGAAGGTGCAGTCTCGTCAGTTGGCAAATTTCTGGCGCACAGCGTTGGCAATATGCTTCGCGCTAATGTTGTAGAGGTCCAAAAGCTCCCGGGGCTTCCCACTGCGAGGAACGCTGGTGACTGCCAGCCGGGTCACTACGATGCCCTGCTCGTGGCCCACCGCCGACAAGACCGCCTCTCCAAGACCACCTGTGCAAAATGACACACCTTAAAGCACATATGTCAAAGTGCCGGCCCGCGGGCCAAATCCGGCCCGCGAGAATGTTTTCAGTGGCCCCTGGGATGATATTGATTTATTATTAGAACCGGCCCGCAGCAAGCCGAGAGCCCGCAGATCTTTTACACGCACCAAAACTACATTTCCCACAATGCAACGGTGACGCGCCAAGCAGTCGGCCGCTTTATTTAAATATTTATTCGTCTCGCAGTCGTTCCCATAACAGTGACATTAGCTTTCAGATACCCATCAAAAATGGCAAAACGGAAGGTGGACACTGAGAACCGCGGGTTTCAAACAAGGTGAGAGTCGAAGAACATGTTCATGGACGTAGCTGGAAAACCTG